TTAACTCGCGAAGAGCGCTTAACTTATAATATAATTAGCAATAATACTTATAGAGGAAAATAAGAAGCTACGTACAGCTAACNAGCGTTAATAATAAAAGTAAGATTAGCAGCGTTAATATATTACTTCTAGTAGAGTACTCTAGGTGCCGCAGGCTCAGCAGCTTGCTGCAGAGGCAGAAAGGGTGATTATAGGCACTGATCAGAGTGAGAGCAGTCAGCGACGTCAACGCGCGCCGCCGACGTGTATAAAGTGCCATATTTAAGGACATACTCGCACAACGTGTAAAGCTAGATAATGAATTATATCTCTCAATTTTATCTTATTCTATTGCGTTGTTGTGGCTCAATTGCGCAGAGAGTCGCATCAGGTTTGGTGGGGTGCCCAGCTTACTGGTTTGCCCAGCTTACTGGTGGAGCACGTTAGCGTGAATGCGTAGATCTCCCGGCTCTGATTGGTTCCGCGGAGCCGTTCCAACCGTTTTAGGGCATAATGTCTGTGCATTTTCTACAACGCTTTCCGTAGGGCGCTCTGATCCTGTTTGACCTATGTTTCTACACTCGGTAGCGTCGCAGCCAAGAAAAGGCGCTTTGACAGATGTTGTGATTGGACCGGAGGTTTGTGTTGAACTGGTTTTGTAATGCATGGCTGTTTTAAACCGTCTGTCGATATGTCAACGCTCCGCTAGGTTGCTACCTATATGTGTACCTGCGTAAAACAAATAAGAGGTAATCGTGACACAAAGTCTATCTATCGGGATTCCAAGGCAGTGCAAAGTGACCAAAGCAAAAGGTGAAACTAAGCACGTCCTAGTACCGTGACCCGTTGTGGTTAGTGCAGGCTATGTGATCCCTTTGGCTCCTCCGGTCCGACTCACATGACTAGCACTGTATTTTTGAGCTTCCGGATATTGAAACAAAAAGTCTGCTATAGAGGGTAGGAGCCCTTTGTCGATATGGGGTGAACGGTAAGGTTGCTGACTTAGCTACGTAGCATGTGGTTCTGCTGGGACGCACAGCCACTGTTGTCGCAGGTACCGACAGTGCACATCCTTGGTAGATCCACAGCACCCCTGTGCTTATTAGTCCCAGCTACCCTGTGTTTAAAGCGGCTCATCACCAAGTGTATCTTCAGCCCTCTGATGTTCAATGTAGATGATGGTTCATATGCACTAATACTGTTTCCATCAGCATCGTGGCTTTCTATTTCCGGTAACACATCATGTGAGTTTGTTGACAAGCGACTGGACATTTTGTTGAACAAAATCTGATGGCTAGTGTTTTTGCCTTTCCTCGCGATTTGAGCAGTAGCATTCAGAGCAGGATTTGCAGCTGCAGTGGTGGAGTGATTCATGTTTGACGCCCTTCATAAAGGGCATAACGATAGGCAGAACCCAGAACTTATAATATTTGATTGCTTTCTGGTTTACTTGTCTATAGTATAGGACTTTCTTAAAGCCCGACAAGAAATGGTAATCGTTCTTGGTACAGGGTCATACAGTCATGCGTCATCACTGCGTAAGGAGTTCGACGTTGAAGATATTGATATAGCTTGACGAAATTACTCAACCTATTTTGCAAAACCCATTTCCAAGATCCATTACTGATGGAAATGAAGTCATGTGAAATAAAATCCAAGGTCCCTCAGTGATAGCGAGCATTGTGTATGTGTATGGTACGCTTTTCAGCTACTCATCGCGCACCTTATCTCACCTCCTAGCATTCTTCACTGTCAGTGAACCTCTTATAATCCACCCCCGCGTCATAAAATTCCTATGCAGCAATTCTGCTCACTATTTTGCAGCCTCACGAAATGAGTCAAGACGGCTCAGACGATTGGGAGTCGGCTTCCAACGATTCAGGTCAAGGGTACGGCCTGATTTCTGGATACGTCTCCAAAGACAATTAGCGAAGGATGGCTCCAGCAACAAGTGCTAACAAGACATTTGTAGTGATGATGGGAATATTGCAGGCTCAGAGACGAATAGAAGTACCGACGTGCTGTTTTCAAAAAGAAGCCAAGAGGAAATAGAGAACGATGTGTATGTGTTGCATCCCTTTCTCACCTTCGTATCACAGCAGCCTGCGAACCAATCGAGGAAGCAACAGAGCTGACTATCCTACAAAACCTGCTCTCACAGACCTCAATTCTTCTAAATTCTGCGCCTTGCTTACATCCTAACCCCTTCAGAGTCCAAATCCGTAGTCGGAATTCATCCATTTCTTCAGGTCTAGCACGTCTCTCCATGTCTCAAATCACTGCTTCGCAGCCATCCCAACCGTCATCCTCAGAGCTTCGGATTTGCGCGTTTCCAGAACAGTTCCGATATAAACCCCAACACGACAACACTTGCTTGCCAAAGACACCTCTACCAGAACATCACAGCCCAAACTCCCCAAACTCCCCAACCCAGAGACGTGGGTCAAACATTACGCGAAATCCCATATCAGATACATGGCGCGAGGACGCATACATGAAAAAAGAGGCTGGAGGGGAGAAGATAGTGGATGTCGCGAAGAGGCAAGACAGGTGGCGATGCGAGTACTGTGAAAACCTGAACGAGAGGGGCGTCGCGAACGAGTATTCTGAGGCTGATAAGAGAAAGGATAGCCACGATGCTGGGTCGGGAGTTGCGAGCTCATCTAAAATGTGAGTATTCTTTTCAGTCAGGAACAGAGACGGAAAGCAATCTACTAACCAAACATCTTCTTTCTACCTCCATACAGATCCCCCTACACCTCAAGCAATCCCATCAAAATTCCCGGCTCCGATCCACCCGGCGTTGCGCCTGGCGATCTCGTCAAATGCACGTATTGCGGCGAACAAATGTTCGTCGAGCTTTCGCGCTACGACCCAAGAGAACTGACCGAAGACGGCGTGCGCTGGAGTGTTGTCGAGGACCCGCGTGAGAAGAAGGTACTGACGAAGGAAGTTATGAGGGGAACGCCACAGAAGAGGGTTCGGGAGCGGTGGAGGAAAGATGCGCAGAGGAGCAAGGAGGAGTTGAGAAGGAAGAGTATTGGGGAGATAGGAGGAGTGAGGATTGAAGAGGGGACTGGGGGAGGGATAGCAATTGGAGAAGAGGAGAGTGGGGGTGTGATATTGGAAGAGGGGGAAAGGGATGCTGGAGGGGTAATGATTGGAGAAGGGGAAGAGGAGAGTGGAGGAGTAGGAATAGAAGAGGAAGAAGCAGAAGGAGTGGGTACAAGAGAAGAAGAAACGGGAGGAGTGAGGATAGAGCAAGGGTGATGGAGGGTGTGGGCCTAGAGTGAGATGGAGAGTTTCTTTTGGCATGGGAAGGGATCAGATGTCTTTTGGGTGTTATTGCTACCAACGACCTCAGCATACATATATGCATCCACAGAAGAGGTAACGGATCAGGAACGCGTTAGCTAAAGTATAAAAAAACTATCCGCAAAACTCTACAAATCTCACGTAAAACAGCGTCACAAGTTACGCATATCTTCACCCTTCTTTCATACCCACCCATCCATCCACTCTCCCCACACCCCTTCCAATCTCACCAACTCCCCAACCACCAAACCAATCCACCCAACCCCACCGTAACCCCCAAATGCCACGCAACCCCCCAAGCCATCGCAAACAGATACTTGGGACTAAACACCGTCCAAATAAACAAATGCTGTCTCAGCACCGTACACGCCAGCATAACTGCCGACAGCATCCCCCCCGTCCAAACCGTCAACACGGCCACATGCGCGACCCAAGCCTCCCAACCCCCCCTCTTCTCCCTGTCCTCCTCCTCCCTCCCTGCCAACTCACCCAACCACTCGCGCTCCTTCGCCACCCAATCCGCAACATGCATCTCGCGCGTATCTACGAAGCGCTGGGTGCCGCCGTGGCGACCGAGCAGCAGCAAGCCGGACAAGGACCAGTAGATGGGACCGGCCCAGTTTGAAGCGAAGACGAGCAGGCCGACGGCGAGGACGTTGTAGGTTGAGATTCCGTTGTAGGAGTTTGAGAGGGAGATGGAGGAGATGGAGTTTGAGTTTGCGAGGGCGAAGAAGGAGGTTTGGGAGAGAAGGAGGGTGGTTAGGGTTGTCGAGGTTGGGGTTAGGGTGAGGAGGGCTGTTTTGCATGGGTTAGCTTGCTTCCTTTGCAGGGAGAGGAGTGTGACATACAGAGGAAGAGGTTTTGGAGGCGGAAGAGGAAATAGAGGGGGATGTTTTCTGCTTTTGTCTGGGTGAGGAGGAAGAGGGTTGTTAGGTCGAAGAAGGCGACGGCGAGATCTGAATGTTCAATTTTTTGTCAGCAAGTGTTCTTTACGAGGGAGAGGCTATGGCGGTTAGATGGATAGTTAACGTACCGCCGTTGCCCTGTCTCCCGCGCGCCTTTCTCCTGTTCGAGCGTGTCCACTCTGCAAACGTGATCCAGACTCCGCTCAGAAGAATACCACCAAATACCATGCGAGCAAGGCCGACAAGTTCCAACGTCTCGATCTTTGCCATCAAGTCTGCATTGATGCCGCTTGTCATCTCCGGGGCGTCCTTTGCAGTAAAGGCAAGCTTGAAAACAAATGCCGTGCCACACAGCGGTAATACAGCAATTGTGCCTAGCAGGCGATGCTGATCCGTCGATTCAAGCTCAACGGCACGAGCCTTCTGGTCAGAATCAAATGTTGCGACAGAACGTGCGACGTGCCTAGCCAGCCGAATCGTAACATCCAGATACGTGACTCCGATGAATATCCACAGAATAGCAGAGTATCTCCCATGAAACAAGCCGCTGTTCACGATGTCATCAGCGCCAGCGTACTTCTGGCCAGTCTGGTTCCACCTCCGTATGATACGGTGGACGGCTAGCGCCATAATCGCGGGGTGGAAGATCCACTGGCTGTACCATTCCTTGCGCATATTCTGCAGGAAAAGGCAGAAGAACCAGCCTGATGTGGCCCAGTACCAGAAGTTGTGCTCTTCTTCTACGTAAGAGGATGCAAACATGAGGACTGCGTAGAGAGCGAGAGATAGGCCAAAGTAGATACCGGCTGGCGTGATGGGCCGGAAAGAGGGGAGAGTGAAGAAGGATAATACGCATATGAGGAAAGCTAGACCTGTGCCAATGAAGAGGCGTGGCAGATTGTAGTTGGAAGCTGTACTAGACATGGTTTCTTGAGCCATGTGCATGAACTGATATTGTCAGTGGGAATCTTCCGGATTATAACAGTGAGCGACGCAAAGGTTACCTTGTAAAAGCTTGTAATATCATCCTTTCCGTCTGGCAACGAAGAGATAATCGCTCTCCAGAGACAAGCCAGCTTTTGGCCATCATTTGCCTAAGCACATCAGTAACTGGACAGCTTTGGGGATTGTTGCAGAACATACATCGTATCCTTCAGCGCACTCTGGAGCATGATCTGATTCGACAAATGAGTCCTCAAACTTCAGGTTGGTGTACTTGGCTGCCACAATCTTCTTCATCTGCTTCGCGTTACGGTAAAGAAGCTGGATGCGATCCAGAGCTATCAATCATTAGTCGCATACATCCATCAGCTAGCCCTCCTACTTACGCGCATCCCAGAAGGGAAGGAAATCCTCAAGGAAAACACCGAGATTGTTTTGGGGGACAGGAAATCCAAGCAAACTAGCTAGTGTTGGGGCGATGTCACTCTGCTCAACCATGCGGTAATATTCAAACTCGCCTTCGGTCTTGGGCTTGATTGGACTCTTCCTGTTTACAGGATTGGTGATCTTAGTAAGCTTTGGGCTCATAAAGACTAGTGCTGGGGACGTCTCGCCAGGAGAGGATCCGCCATGATTGCCGCCGTCATTCATACCATGGTCGCCACAAAGAACGAACAGTGTGTTGGATAGGTGGTCCTCGTTTTCGATAGACGAGTAAATGTCGCGGACGATTTCATCCATTTCAATCTGTTTGGGAACCATATTGGGGCTATGTGATGGTCAATATTTTGAATGCTAACCAAGTTGAACGCAGCATTCACCTCTTCGGACCAGCCTTGTGCCCAATGTGATCCAGGCCCAGATAATGCATAATCATTGCATTCCAGTCACTGTTCAGCAACTCATTTGGAACATGCCTCGTCACGTTATTGTCAACCTCTGTGAAATCCTGCACTTTGAAATCAACATTCTATTTTTCCTATATACGACGGGACGCTTATGACTGACCGAGACAAAAAAGCTGCTCGTTCCGTCTGCGCGCTCGAAGACATTGGGAAAGAGCTTCAGCCAGGTATCATCGCCGTACATGACCAGCTTCCCTTTGCCATTTTCAAAGTCCTTTGCTTTGATCTGCGCGAGCCATGTATCCTGCGTCGCGAGGGTCGACGTCGTGTCTGATTCGGCAAAATTTAGGATTACGTCTACGAAGGAGGGAATAGAGCCCGTGGTAATGGCCTTTACACGAGGCATGGTAATTGTAGGAGAGGTTGCGTGAGCCGTGAATGGTAATGCGGTTCCGTCGCGTATGAGACTGGAGGGATGTCAGCCATAATGCGACTTTGTAATGTATTTTCCAGAAGGCTATCATACCTCTGCACAAAGGACATGCCGCTCTCCTCGCCGTACACAAAGTCGCTTCTTAGCGCGTCAACGACCATGAAGACAACTTTGTCGAACGGCGGAGTAGGCGGCTTTTGCCAATCCTTGCCCAGCTTTTCAGAGAACCCAAGGTCTTCATACTGGGCAAGACCCGGCATAAACGGTTTGTAAGGAAAGAAGCCAGTTGCGAAGACCAGTATCGCGACCGGGATCAAAAGATTTGCGACCGTCAGAAAAAGCGTTCGAAGCGCCATTGTGGCCCGACCACCTGTGTTTTAGTCAATTGGGAGATTTTAAGGAGCGAAGGTTGTCATGGCGAGCGCCAAATAGTGCCTAGTTGATATCAACACGTCCAACATGGTGTTGGAAGACGCGACGTTACGTTTGGAGCACCCGAACTCAGGGTCTAGCTATGCCCAAGATGGCTTAGCGGAGATGCTAGTGAGCCAATGACATCACTACCCTTGGATTTCAGCTCTTTCCAAGAAGTCAGTAATCTATTCCAGCACAAACATCCATGTACCGAATGCCATTGGGATTGAGCGTTTTGACAAGGACACAACTTCCCATACAAATCCCGGCCACACATACCCTGCTACCGACACGCACTATCCGCTCTTCTGCACGCATTACGACAGCCGACCGAAACCTCGAGAGACAGCTTTCCGAATACCTACGCCAGCAACAGCTCACCCGTGAGCCTAGACGCTTACAGAGACAAGCAAACATGTCGTTTATCTTGCCGGGTCTTCGCAGAGGCCTGATGCTCAGCACGCCACTCATTCTTTCGACACCTCTGCTGGCGTATCAATTCCGGAATGCGCAACGCATACGCTGCGATGGACCAGACCCCATCACGAAGATTACTAATGACTTGAAGAGCAACTATGCTGCCGAAGCAAGAACCCCCATTATTACTCAGTCAGGTGCGGTAAACCCGAGAGCAATTCAACAAATCAGCATGGGAAGTATTCTCGGTGTTATTGGAGGTTTGGGAATTAGCGTCTTCAGCAAGCCGCTGGCAATATTGATTGGATTAGGCATCTTTGCTGTACAAGTAAGTTCATCATCTCAGTCATTGAGGCTCTATATAACTATCTGTGACATACGTCTTTTACCGAACATTACATCCCAGGATATATTCCTGGTTATGCATTCCCATCACGCACCCTCCATGCTTATGCTTTGAATGTGGAAACCAAGATTGACCCATATACTAGTTCATCGAGTCACGAGGAATTCACATCGTACCATACTCATTCCTCCAGCGCCGTTTGAAGTCCATGAACGTCCGGTCGCTGGTCCAAGACAATGTGGCTTTCAAATTGTCCTTTGGTCTGACATTCGCCATGGCTGCGTTTGCTGAATTCTAAATCCAACGAGTTCTCGACAAGTCGCTCAGTATGCAGCAGGTTAAGGGAAACCTTGGGCAAATCGATGCGCTGGGTTCATCACCTGTGGTTGGAGCTGCATCTGCAGCTGTTTGCAACTCGACCAGAATGCCTTTACCGTGTCCTTGAAAGCCACACTGTTCCTTGCATTCCTATACATAGGTTAGCTTTGAATGCACGCATCATGGCTGTTGGCCAACATACCTAGACATGCTCTCAATGAGCTTTCGCACCATGTCTTGAACGCCCTGGTCTTGTTGCAAGCGTTGGAGCAGTGGCTGCTCAGCCAACGAGTTCGTGATGTATGCTCTTGCATTCTTGTCGGCCCTCATAAAAGCACGAAGGGGCGCGACAACATGCTCTAAGCTGCTGTAGTCTACTTCTCCGCAGATATTCGCAATTAGTGCAAAGCAGACTGAAGGCCCGAAGTGAGCCACAATCTCCTGGGTCGTAGCATGGTATTCGCTATGTGGGTTGCCCGCGAGCTCAAAGATATCTTTCCACAACTTGGCAGCTGCGCGTTTCGGCAACACCTCAGGGGACTTGATCGACTCAACTGTGAAACCAAACATCCCGGATAGGTTTTCCGGAGACGCTTGCTTCAGGATACCAGGGTCAGCGTTGATGAAGTTTTGGATAAGCTCAATACAGCCAACCGCAATCTCAGGGTCATTTCTTGGGTGTTGCAGAGCTTGCATGATGCTCAGGTTGTGCTGAAGTAAACGCTGGGCTTGCTCTTGGAAGCCTTCGGGCTGTTCGTGCTTGTGTGACGAGATCCAACAACACGCTGTTTCCAGCACAAACGGAAGTCTTGGAGTCTGCAAGGTCGTCTTGGTGATGAAGTCAATCGCCGCAGATAGTGGTAGAACAAAGGGTCCTGACACTGTCTCCTTGAACCCAGTACGCAGAACACTACACGCAGCCTCGACGATCTCGTCATTACCGGAGAACACCTGGGTCATGTAGTTGACGAGATTAATGATTTGGTTTTGGATTTCCTTGCCTGGCCCTTGCAACCAGAATGTAGAAGGCTTCTTGTCAGATTCGAGATCTATCACTTCCTCGTCTGAGGCTTGCATAGCTTTTCCTATACTTGCCAAGCACTTTAACGTTGTCAAAGCGAGAATTTGGCCCTGCTCCATGTCTCCTCCCTCTTTGGTAATGTTGATCGCTTGCATGGCATCGCGCGTGATGTACTGAAAGAGCTGCCGTACGCCTTCTAGCTGCTTCTCATCTGAGTCCTGGGCTTGAACTATGGCGGCAATACCTTTCAGAACCATGCTCTTGGTGAATTCTTCAGCTGTTGCATAGGTAATGAACTGTTCGTACATTTGGAAGAAAGATGCCAACTCCCCTGTCAGAGACTTGCGGCACTCGGAACAGAGCGAGGCAAAGGACTTTGCAGCACCATGTGCGATTGCTGGTTGAGCCAGAGCCGTAAGGAGAAAGGGGAGAACTTGGGGAAGGAATTGCGGGTTCCGGAGGAAAAAGTGGTTCAAAGCCGCAACAAGTTCAACAGCCGTCCGCCGTGTTATCGCAGGTACATCGGGGTTGCTCGATATTGTTGAGAATAATGGTTGCTCGAACAGTCTGAGCATACGGTCATCCGAGCTTTGGGTCAATGCATCAGCAATGGCGATGAGCCCGAATAACCCCGTCTCAAGATGAAGCCACTTGCCTGCGCTCAAACCATGTAGTGCGAAGTCAACGAATTGATCAGTCAGAACATCTCGCAAGGGTTCATAGGCATCCATAATGATGTCGCGAACATCAATACGGAATACCTTGAATGTCTTCCTGGCATCAGAATCCCAAGAATCAGTAACGTCAGCTGGCGGGTAGATGATCTTTTGGACAAGCTCGGATATGGCTTGAAGAACATTGGCCTTGGCCGCATCCATCCATGCTGGTACCTGCTCCCCTGAGGGATATAGGAATGTTTCTTCGGACATGGCGCTGACATAGCTACTCCAGAAGTCAAGCACCACAGGAGCAACCTCGTCCTCTGCGCCTACTGGCTCCGGATATTTGAGGAGGTCATGCAGAAATGACATGACTTGTTGATAGTGCGCATTGTCCGGCTGGGTGTAGATGACCTTGGACTCAAGCAGAATTTGTCCGTAAGCCACAATGATCCTTGCAAGTGAGACGGTTTCGGCATCGGAGTTTTTCAGTATTTCCAGACCCCAAGGACCGTAAATGGCCGCCCATAGCATTTCTTGATGCTTTTTCTCGAAGAACGTAGGGTAGTTCTCAAGAATCTCCGCGACAAGTTCCATTGCATCCTCAACATGGTATTCGAGGCATGTTAGAGCGAGCTCGTTGACGGAACGAAGACGTTGTAGCTTCTCTGGCATATCTTTGAACTCTGATTGAGCATAAAAGATCCACCCTGTGAAACACTTGAGGGCGGCTATACATATCTTCTCTCCCTGCTGCACGGACTGAGCATAGTTCGGGTCATCGATAGCTACCGATAGCCATTTGATGCCACGACCAAACGACACATGAAGGAGGATCTCTACACTCTCGACATTTGCCGCCATGCGCTCGTGAGGTTTCCGGTCTGGGACATTTGAGGGTTTCTTGGCTTCGTCTGCTAAGCTCATTACAAAATCGAGCATGACCAGAAGCTGATCATCGGAGAATTGTGGCAATAGATCCCATGTGGAAGGGTGCTCGCTCAGGGTGGCATCCAAGATTGGTTGCTGAACGGCAAAAGAGGCAGCCAAACTCCTCACACACTGAGTCCATACTGAAATGGGTTTGGTGAAGTACTGAGCCAAGGTTGAGCTAATTTTTCGGGTTGCAATGGATGAGGTAGGTCGGGAAACAAGGTGATGAATGAGTGTTGATAGTAGTTGCTCCGATTCTTCTTCGCTCAGCTCGGCTGAGTCAGCGTTGAGCTTAACCGTCAGGGTCAGAGCGCCAAAGAAGCGAACCTGCTCGTCGTCGCTCCTGAGGAGAGCATTTGCAATCTCCCATCCCTGAGGCGAGCGCTGGAGCACGCGTAGAGTGGCTTCGGTCTCTGAGATTTTTTTGGCCTGGCCAGGCTCGTATAAGGATTTGACCAGGCGCTCTATTTCTTCATATGGCAGTGGAAACGACTGGGCCCCATTGCTAGCCATGTTTTTTCTGAGGCCGGTGTCAGTGGATTGGGGGTTGTTTTTGGGTATGCTGATGGCGTTGTTTGCTTGTGCCAATCAAAATCGGCAATAGGCAGTAGTGCTGCTCGAGGCGAAGCGGCGAGAGTCATGCAAAGACCGATGACGAAGATAAGGAAAAACGGAGGGAGGTCAAGCGGGATTGGGGCTGGCCAGATACATATCATAGCTGGCCCGACGTCCATTCACCCAGAACTAGCCCGTGGTGAGGCCGAAAGGAGGAAAGCGTGACCAAAGGGCGGGAACTGGGCGCCAGAAGGATGCAGATTGTGCGACTTACACGATGTGCGGGTTGCAGCCTGGAGAATCTAGTGGTTTCTGGGATTATTGCAGACTGAGCATAGTGAGCCGTGTCCGGGTGGAGAGTGGAGAGTGGCGAGGGACTAGCAGTGGGCAAGGCGAGAAGGCAGAGAAAGGCGAGGTGAGCAGACTGAATGACATCTACCTGGGCGCGTAGTGGGGCAGGGTCGACAGCAGGCGACAGCGATGCAAGTGCAACTTCATGGCTTCTAGCAGAGCATGGAGAAGACGCCCAGCTGTGGCGGGCGATTTAAAGGCGGCGGTGCCTGAGCAAGAAGGTTTTTGTGCTTGGCGATGTTGGTCCCAGGGTCCACCGTGGGGTGCGAGGCTGTAGTGCAAGTGTAAGCTGATGCTGTAGGCTGGAGATTGGCGGGGTGGCGTGCATGTACCGATTGACCATCGGCGCAAACCGACGTGCCACTCCTTGATGCTCTTGCCGCGTATCTTACGGCGTTCCCACGCGATAGCTGCTGCATATGTAGCTGCAAAGTCGCCATTCCCCTCCACCAGACATCTTCACGCTTCTGCAGCCCTGCGTGCCATCGACATGGCCAAAGTAGATACCTCCCACCGGCTGGCAGAGCTCCGCAAGCTCATGAAGGAGCGCAATGTCGACATCTACAGTACGCCTGCGCTTCCAACAAGGCTGCAAATGGGTCACTGACAACATGCAGTGGTGCCATCCGAAGACAGCCATCAGAGCGAGTACATTGCCCCGTGTGACGCCCGCCGAGGTCAGAACAGGACCCCCGCTACTCGTCGTATCCCACCCCATTGACCCTCCCTAGCATACATCAGTGGCTTCACTGGCTCCGCTGGCTATGCAGTCATTACACACGACAAGGCAGCCCTCTCGACCGACGGACGCTACTTCAACCAGGCTGAGAAGCAGCTGGACAGCAACTGGGAGCTGCTGAAACAAGGCATACAGGACGTGCCCACCATCCAAGAGTGGACTGCGGACCAGGCCGAGGGGGGCAAGGTTGTTGGCGTCGACCCGAGTGTAGTCACGGCAGCAGCCGCTCGTAAGCTTGCCGAAAAGATCAAGAAGAAGGGCGGCGAATACAAGGCTGTTGATGAGAACTTGGTCGATTTGGTATGGGGCGCAGAGAGACCAGCTCGCCCAAGCGAAAAAGTCATTGTTCAGCCCGACAAATACGCTGGCAAGAGCTTCAGCAACAAGATTGAGGATTTGCGAAAGGAACTGGAGAAGAAGAAGAGCCCGGGTTTTGTCATGTCCATGCTTGACGAGGTCGCGTGGCTCTTCAACCTCCGTGGGAGCGAGTGCGTGTGCCATGAAGCCAGTTAAAAAAAACTCTCAAACTGACGTCGCACAGCATTCCTTACAACCCTGTCTTCTTCTCGTACGCCGCCATCACACCCACCGCCGCCACGCTCTACGTCGACGATAGCAAGCTACCCGAAGATGTCAAGAAGCACCTGGGCGACAAAGTCACCATTCGTCCATACGAAGAAATTTTTGGCGATGTCACCGCACTAAGCAAAGAGCTCTCTGCAACAAGCGAAAAGGACACTACACCCAAGAAGTTCCTGATCTCGAACCAGGCTTCATGGGCGCTCAACAAGGCCCTCGGTGGTGAAGACAAGGTCGAGGAGACGCGGAGTCCAGTCGGAGATGCCAAGGCAGTCAAGAACGAGGTCGAGCTGGAAGGCATGCGACAGTGTCATATCCGCGACGGAGCTGCATTGAGCGAATACTTTGCCTGGCTAGAGGACCAGCTGATCAACAAGAAGGCTACGCTGGACGAAGTCGATGCTGCTGACAAGCTGGAGGAGATTCGCAAGAAGCACGACATGTTTATGGGTCTTTCCTTTGACACCATCTCGTCAACAGGCCCCAATTCGGCAGTCATACACTACAAGCCAGAGAAGGGTGCATGCTCAGTCATTGACCCCAAGGCCATCTACCTTTGCGACTCTGGAGCGCAATATCGTGATGGCACTACCGATACCACACGGACACTGCACTTTGCAGAGCCGACCGACATGGAGCGCAAAGCATACACACTGGTGCTCAAAGGCAACATGGCTCTGGAGCGCGTCAAGTTTCCAAAGGGCACGACAGGCTTCGCATTGGATTCGTTGGCTCGTCAATTTCTGTGGGCGGAGGGTCTTGATTACCGTCACGGCACAGGACATGGTGTCGGGTCGTTTCTCAATGTGCACGAGGGGCCGATTGGGATCGGCACAAGGGTGCAATATTCGGAGGTTTCATTGGCCGTCGGAAACGTCGTGTCCGACGAGCCCGGATACTACGAGGATGGAAAGTTCGGAATCCGAATCGAGAATATGATCATGGTCAAGGAAGTCGAAACCAAACACAAATTTGGCGACAAGCCGTATCTGGGGTTCGAGCATGTGACAATGACACCTCATTGCCGCAACTTGGTTGACATGAGCCTGCTCACCGAGGACGAAAAGGCGTTTCTCAATGACTACCACAAGGAAGTCTATGAAAAGACGAGCAAGTTCTTCGAGAACGACGCCTTGACATTGGAGTGGTTGAAGCGCGAGACGGCACCATACTAGAGAAGTAGTGTAACAAGCAATCAGGAAGATAGTCTTGAGGACAACCAGGTAGCCAGTGCACCTAGTCTGCGGCTCGGCATTAGCATTAGCACACGCACATAGATTTCCACAGGTGTAGTGTTGGTGCGATACATACTAGGCATGGAGTAGGCATGGGCCCTGATATTCTGCAGCATCGTCCAGGGTCTTTTGGTGGCCACCGACCCACTCGGACCGAAAGGTCATCAGGTGAGTTTACTAGGTGTACACTAATCTCCGCAGTAATGTATGCAATGTCTCCAGTCCGGTACCGCACCATGAACTCTTGGAGAGAGACGGACTCCGGTGGCCCAAGGCCACGACGGCAATTCACGGCCATGGCAGTCAGCAAGGCAGAGTGCGTGATTGGACGGGCAGAGCAGGGCGTGTGTCAAAGGGCGCATGGTGGGGTCTAGAAGGCCGCGGGTGATGGCGGGGCAAGCTCCGAGCTGTGCTAAGGATGGCGGGATAGAGGGACCTTGGAAAGGCAAAAAAATATTGCGATGCCCGCGGGTACATGTACAGGTAATACATTTGTTTCGACGTTGACTCACGATCTTACCTGAGACTTTCCTAAACGACTTCAATTGCCTATTTTGGACTTGGGCGGTATTACTTGACTACTAATTAGTTCTTTCTTTCTCTCTTTCTTTATATACCTCTTTTTCTCTTGTGAATCACCCCACTGTCAGATTCAATTCCTCTCTTCTCGTTACCTTTTTTTCTCCTTCTATCTCCAAACGATACAATGGCAACTGAACTCCCCACCACCAATGGCAACCGCGCCCAAGATGGCGAGAACAACTTTGCCGTCAAGGCCGGATTGGCACGCATGCTGAAGGGCGGAGTCATTATGGACGTTGTCAATGCTGAGCAAGTATGTCCAATTGCCTTGCCACAGGTTAAGATTTCAGCATGAACAGTCTGGCTAACCACATCACTGTGTGAATAGGCACGGATAGCAGAAGAGGCAGGAGCCTCAGCCGTCATGGCCCTCGAGCGTGTCCCCGCCGACATTCGCGCTCAAGGCGGCGTAGCACGCATGAGCGATCCCAAGATGATCAAGGAAATCATGGACACAGTCACCATCCCCGTCATGGCCAAAGCCCGAATTGGCCACTTTGTCGAATGCCAGGTAAACCCATCCTCCCCCTCCATCTATCCCCCCCCCCCAAAACAGACCCAATTCGCTAACCCCTCCTCTCGCCAACTAGATCCTCGAAGCCCTCGGCGTAGACTACATTGACGAATCCGAAGTCCTCACCCCAGCCGACGCCCTGCACCACGTCTCCAAGCACCCCTTCCGCATCCCCTTCGTCTGCGGGTGCCGCAACCTGGGCGAAGCCCTACGCCGCATCTCTGAAGGCGCCGCCATGATCCGCACAAAAGGCGAAGCCGGCACGGGCGACGTCATCGAAGCCGTGCGCCACATGCGCTCCGTCAACGCGGAAATCGCCCGCGCAAAGAACATGTCGGAGGAGGAGTTGCGCGTGTATGCCAAGGAACTCCAGGTCGACTACGCGCTGCTGAAGGAGACGGCCAAGCTCGGTAGGCTTCCCGTTGTCAACTTTGCGGCCGGTGGCGTGGCGACGCCCGCGGATGCGGCCCTCATGATGCAGTTGGGCTGCGATGGCGTGTTTGTCGGCTCTGGCATCTTCAAGTCCGGGGATGCGGCGAAGAGGGCCAAGGCGATTGTGCAGGCGGTTACGCATTATAATGATCCCAAGGTGTTGATGGAGGTTAGTATGGATTTGGGTGAGGCCATGGTCGGCATTAATTGCAGTAACATGGCTGAGGAGGAGAAGCTTGCGAAGAGGGGGTGGTAAGTAAGAAGTTTGTGTGTGTGTGTGAGAGAGAGAGAGAGAGAAGACAGAAAATAGGTGTGTGTATGTATGTATATGAAGGGATTGATATGGCGTTTTCTTTTCCTTTCTTTTTTCCTTCTCTACGATATAAAAATGGAGGGGGGAAATGATGTATAGAAAGATGGAAAAAAATGGTCGAGTGGGATACGTTTTGAACGAGATTCAACATTTTGCTTGTTCATATGTTTGCTTTTCTTGTCTTGCGTTCCAAATGTACATCTTGCCCCCCCTTGGCTTACATTGTGAGTCATGTCGGTTTTCATGGGGTGCCAATTTGTTCATTTGACAATTATCATCACCATGTCAAACCACAAATCACGTCATCCTCAAGGCCGAGGTAAAGTGAGCAGATGGACAAACACAGTCACGACACGAACAAAGACAAAACATACTACAAACAAGTACGGTGGACTTTTGTTGTTTACATTGAGCTACCTGTAATCAAAACTGCAAACGATGCAGATATGTCCATGTAGTAGACAGTGAGCCCGCACCCTCCCTGTTTATAACCGACTAGTGGCCACTAGTGATGTTTACCAAGAGGGCGTCACCTTGTCACACCCATGGAAAATAGAAATGATTCATAACCGTCAAACTCCGCTGCGCCAGAGACAAACCCACTCATAGCAGCGCATGGCCCGAACCTACCCGCCGCGACTGTCGATAGGGAGGCTTACAAGAGGTAAGGAAGATGCAGTCAAGCGACTTGGTCTTTTGTGTTCTTAGCGGTCCTCGGCCCACTCGTTCTCTCGGCGGATTTGCTCCTCCTCCTCGGGGGTGAAGTCATTCTGAATGTTGAACGTCTTACGGATCTCGTCGGGCGACTTTCCCTTGATCATGTTGGCGACTGTTTTGCAGCCAACATCGAGGAGGGCCTTGATGTCGAGGTAGTTGGCGGCGAGGATGATCTCAAAGAGCATCTCTTGGTCGACCTGCATGAACTTTTGGTCCCACTCGTCAATGTCGGTCGACTTCTTGCGCGAGTCCGAGTCGTCGTCCTGGGTGGCGGGCGGGTCGTTCTTGTGGTGGGTGCACCACTCGAGCACCTTCTTCATCACGGCTTCGTTTACCTGGCAGCTGTCAGCGGTGGTGGCTTAGGCAGGTGGTAGTGTGACATACGTTGGGAATGGGGATGGACTCGTCGGATTCACCGCCGAGATCCTCGAGCAAGTTCTTGATCAGGATGGAGCGCTCGGCAACGGGGCGCTCGACCTGCATGTTGACGCCATCCGAGGTGGTGATGCTGATAAGCTTGACGCCCTCGGCATTAGTGGAAGCCATTGTATTAGGCGTCGGGGGAGGTGGTGTAGAGTCGACGTGTAAGTGGGGTAAGCTGTGGCTGGGGTAGATGGAGATGGAATGCGCAGGGCCAGAAGTCAATGGGCTACTGGTCGGAGCAAGTGGGGTGGTGTTGGGAGAGGCAAAGAAGGCGACGGCGGGGGGTTATATAGAGACGGAGTGTTTGTAGGTTTGCGCACAGAGAGGCAAGTAAGTAAGAGAAAGGCAACTGCGATGGTCGCCCGTCCGCGCCGCCAGCCAGAGGCGAGCTTAGGGCCAAGCCCGTCCCAATCAGGCCCAAGCGCAAGGCTGCAGTCGCCAAAGACACCTTTTGCCCCTGCCACACTTCATCATGCGTGAAGGGAAGACTGTCGATTTTGATACCATTCACACGGCATGCGCCTTTTGATACGCACTTGGGCCTTTGTCTCTGTGCATCACTGCTCGAAGCGGCTTCGGTTTGCGCTTCGTCTGCGGATGCTCGCAGGCTGCACGGTGCTGTGACGCTGGAGCCAGCGGAGCCCTATGGATGAGGGGTCTCCCCTCCCTCTCCGCGCGACGACAAGAACAGATACATGGGCCGTACTGGGGCCGGTAGAAGTAGCCAGAAGGCCGAGTCTTGGAGTCGAATGGCGCAACCAAAAGAAAGGATACCGGGAGCCGTCTCATGTGTCTAGGTGCGTATGTATTGCGCATATGTACATGCGTCTGTATGCGTTGAACATGTCTGCCATTGAGTGACGTCCCGCCATGACGAACGCGTCGATCGTGCTACTTTTGAGTCGTTCACAGAGAAGCCAACTGTCTCCCTGCAGACGCCCATCCACACATGATGCTACAAACAGGTGTTCATCTGTATACATACACCAGGATCCCGGCCATGACCAGAGCAGGCACACCACTGATGTTCTGCCACGTGACGGCGCTGGCCGTATCTAGCTCCCCACCGCAGGCTGCCCTCGAGGATGCGAGCTGGCTGCCTGACTGCCTGACAGCCACTGGCCCATCTGATCAAGCCGCCTGACAGCAGTCTCGTTTCGCGACTCTGCTCTGCAGTCTTCCATGGACTCGGACCGTCTTTGCACTCCAAGACCCAGGCCTGACGACACTCACGCCTTGCACCAATTATGACAGTCGGCTCCCCCTTATCCGCATTCAACTTCTTGGTTAACATAGGCCTGCACTAAAACATGCGTTGGCCTCACTTTTGCGCAAACAATCACTCCACCACAAAAGACATGCCCTTGTGCGACGTGGCCATTACACCCTCCGGCTTCCCCATACTGCTGCCATCATGTGGCGGAGAGTCTACTTTCTCCTTATTCTAGTCCGCATCTACTTTGCCCTGTCGCCCAGTTACCTGCACCCTGACGAGAACTTCCAGGGCCCAGAGGTTGTTGCTGGTATGCTTGCCCTGCCTTACGCAAACTTGTGGCCCCTCATGCTGACAATTACCAGGACGCGTCTTCTCCTACCCCGTCCACGAAACATGGGAATTCACCTCGAACCACCCCATCCGCAGCACCTTCCCATTATGGCTTGCATACGGCTGGCCCATGTATATTCTGCGTTGGCTATGGGAGGGCTCTGGATATGACGTTTCGCCGTCTGTTGTCTACTGGACACTACGCGTACTCATGCTGTCATTGAGCGTCGTCATGGAGGACTGGGCAATCCACGAGTTGGTCGCGTCGCCCCGCGCCCGACGCATCGCCGTGGTCCTGGTCGCATCCTCGTACGTGACATGGACTTTCCAGACGCATACGTTTTCAAACAGCCTCGAAACATTATTGGTGCTCTGGAGTTTGGTTTTGATCCAAAGGATCACTGGCGATAAGGTATGGGCTACGTCAGCCCCTCGCCCACCTAGCATATGCAGCTAACCAGACTTGCAGAAACGCTCCGGCATACTAGCCTCGTCCATCTTGGGCTTCATGGCCGTCGTCGGCATCTTCAATCGCATTACCTTTCCAGCATTTCTGGTTTTGCCTGCCACAACATTGCTACCGCACTTCCAGCGCAAGTCAGTCTACCCCTCGTTCGCGCCACTCGGACCATGCTAACATTCGCAGGCCGTTTTCGCTAGTCTTCTTGGCTACATTTGCTCTTGCAACAGTCTTCCTTGCCGTGTGTATCGACACGGCCTTTTATACCCCAGGCGAATTTACATTTTCAAAAGTCTTTACTGCCCCCGTCATTACGCCCTTCAACAACTTTCTCTACAACTCCCAGTCCGAGAACCTTGCCCAGCATGGCATACATCCGCGGTACCAGCACTTGCTGGTCAACCTCCCTCAACTACTCGGGCCCGCCATTCCACTTATGTTCTTCTTGCGCAAAGCGCACATCACCATGAACCTGATATCGGCCCTGTCTGGTGTCGCTCTACTCAGCATCTTCCCACACCAAGAGGCGCGCTTCTTGTTGCCCGCAGTACCTCTGGTCCTGTCCTCGATACGCGTGCCGAACCCGCCTTTCAAAAAGCCTTGGATAGCGACGTGGGTCATCTTCAACGTAACCTTGGGGTTATTGATGGGCGTGTATCATCAAGGCGGCATCGTGCCCGTACAGATCAACATTGCCAAGACCAACGAAACTATCAGTCATGCCTTCTGGTGGAAAACCTACAGTCCGCCCACCTGGTTGTTGAATGGCAAGAACGAAGAACTTAAGACTGTGGATTTGATGGGCTGCCCGGGCGAGCAGATGCTTGAAAGAGTAAAGGAAGCGCTACCGCCTTGTCGAACTCGAAAACCCCCACGGGTTGAGGATCAAGGTGCTACGTATCTTGTAGCACCACGGTCCGCCTATTTCTTGAAGCCATACCAAGATGCAACTAAGCAGAATGATGTTCGATTAGAAGAAGTGTGGAGCTACCGACAGCACCTCAACCTTGACGACATGGATTTCGCTGACGACGGTGTTTGGAACACCATCAATCGTGTTATTGGTGATCGAGGCCTGGTAGTGTGGAAGGCCACTCGCAACTGCTCGACCCTTTCCTAGTGAGATACAGCCATTTTACTCTCGCGATACATGATATGAAATGATATCAATGCGAGTGTAGAGGTGGTCTGGTAGGCTCAATGCTATATGGGGGCTAGGTATTTCCAGGATTTCATAGTGGCTGGTAGACACTAATCTATTGGGAACGCGGAGAATTGTCAACTTTCGCCTTGGTTTTCTTTTTCTTTTTCTTACTGCACGTTTTCATGCCCCATATCTAGATACCCGCTACATAGCTCATGGATAATACTCAATAATGGTAGGGAATGAAATCCCAACGTCTGGAATCTGATTTTCCGTATCTTTTGTTTTGTGTGATGATTGTGTGGGTTTGACTAATAATACATATTCCTACACTGCGTCTCTTGCAGAAGAAGAAGAAGCATCAATCCACGACCTAGACACGACTCCCTCCCTCTCTCTCTCCATCTACTATAACCTACAATGCCCCACCCAGCACCCGTACCGCCCACATCGCCATCCTCACATTCATCCCAACCTTCCTCTCCTCCCTCTCAAACTCCCTCTCATCAACCGCCTTCGCATGCTCGCCCAACCACTTCACTTCCTCCCCCAACCGCCGCCTCAGTCCCGGATCAGTCGTAGAAATAACAACATTAGCCTCGAGATCGAGTTCGTACGCGCGCTTGGTGTAGTTCGAGGACCCGATGACCGTCAGACACGGGTCGTTGTCGGTCTCACCCTGGTTCCCCGTAGCCGGCGCCGTGGAAGGAGACTGAGACTCAGAGGACGACGACGAAGAAGAAGAAGGCAGCGCCACCCAAATCCCCTTGGCATGATACGTCCACGCACCCTCCTGGCCCACGACGCCCTTCTTCCACTCCTTCAGCACAATCGACTCGCCAAGCCCCTTTACCCGTACCTGCCGTAGGAACGTCTTCGCTAGATGCGTATACGCAGCTGGTAACATACCGCTTACACCTTTGGAGCCGTAGAAGCCGTTGGCGTGCGGATGCGCAGTTAGCACTGTGCCGCGCACGGGGCGTGTGGCGAGGAGCAGGCGTCGGAAGGAGGGGGTTGTGTTGAAGTAGCCGGCGGTGAAGGTCCAGGTGCATGGGGTGTGGGCGAGGGTGTTGAGGAGGGAGGTTAGGGCGGGGAGTTCGGTCGAGGATGGGAGGAGGGGGACGAGGGAGAGGATGGGGTGGATTGTTGTCGTTACTGTCGATCCGGAGCTTGTCTCTGAGAGGGGCTTTTGGGGGGAAGGGGAGTTGGAGGGCGTGAGGAGGTGCGATAGATGCTTCTCGGCTGCTTTTCTGTACGAAAAGGGGTTTTCGAGCGGGTTGGGACCGGCGTTGGAAGAGGGCCAGGTCATGCTGTAGCCGCCTGCGCCAGGAGCGTCAGTCGGCTGGATGTCGAAACTCAGAGCGGACACGCCGTCGTGGATTTTGGCAAAGTACTCGGTCAATTCTGCAGAGCGGAAAAGATGGTAGCGGTCCTGGCGGTTGGTGAAGTAGTCTTCGCTGAGATTCGCACCGCTCATGATGATTTCGTCGTCGACGCCGTAGAGTTTCATGTGCTGGAGGCCCCAACCCTCATTGATTCGTTTGGGGATGTATTTTTTACGCAAACCCGTGAGGTTGGGCGTGTGGTACATGCGAATTTGGACTCTCTGAGGACCGAATTCTGTGATTAGAGGGGCGAGGAGAGAGGCTGTGGATGGATTCGGGGTTTCTCGGGTCCCGCGTAAGGCGTCTGTTAGGAATGAGACGTGGAGGTTGGAGTTTCTGAGGAGGGCTGCGCGGATGGTACTAATGAGGTCGTGTTCTGTTTTGCCAATGTAGAGGGTGCTGAGGTAGATTCTGTGTTGGGCTTTTGAGATTTTGTCCTGGGGTGGGTTAGTGGGATTGGAATGTGAGTGTTGAGTCGTGCTCTCTCATGTATTTCCCGTGATATTCTATCTAAATTTATCGAATCGGATACAGATGGGATATCGCCATGTCACTCAACTTTGAGAGTATTTTCTTGACATTCAAGAAATAGGAGGTACATTCAAGGAGTCCTATGACCAAGGAGACAGGTCTTCTAATGTTATAGAAAATTTCAGAAACAAGAGTATGAAACAGATGATGACAAAACGATCGAGCACATAGTAGATGCTTGATAGTTAAAGATGAACATAAGAGGAAACATCAACCTACTTTCAGCGTTTGATAAAACTCAGCAGGCGTCTGAATAATCTGAATCCGCTCAGGCTGCATCTCAAACCTCGGAGCAATCTTGTCCAGATCCGATGTAATTGTCGCCAGTATCGCGGCCTGGCTCTGCGGTACTTGCGGTGCCATTCCCGCAGTCGAAGTCGAATACCTCCTTGTTGTCTTGGTCAATCTGCCAGGAAGACAAAAAGCTCTTTTGCCCGCAATCCGGGGCGCTTGAATTCTTAACAAGCCTCGACTTATCATCGTCCCGGAAACCCTTGCTGCACACTGTTGAAAAATCGAGATACGTTGAAGTCTCGAAGTATCAACATCGGATGCACTTTAGGAAACGAAGGACACTATCGCGCTAGTTGAGAAAAAGGTATAGCGCGAGCGCCGGTCTTGGCATCATCAATCGCGCCTCAGCGACGTCCGACGAGCGGGCAACCAGCGATCATCAACCAGCTCGCACCACAGCCGCTATGTCGACGCTCCTGAGAACACTGCGCAACCTGCGCCGGATCGGAATCAAGGCAAGCTTTCTATCCTCGCTTCATTGTCCCAGTAGCATCATCACTAACTATGCCCTAGGACTATGCCCACCAAATGGCGGTACGCTCATGAAATCCCCCCCTTTCAATTGCCTCCTCCCCGAGAAATAAACTGATGGATTCGCCTCTCCTTCGTAATAGAATATCGGTACGCCTTCTCCGCACACGGCTGTCTGTGCAATTGGACATGAGAGAACGTGGGGGGACTGATGCATTGCAGGTGATACCAAAGCCGGAACCTTGATTGGCACGGATAGATACGGCAACAAGTACTTTGAGAATCTGGAGGAGGAGCTGCCGCGTAAGAATTGCCATTATTTCGACTGGCGGGGAGTCCGCAGGAAGAGGAACAATGGTAGCTAATTGCATGGGATAGTGCGAACACGCTGGGTAGACTACAAGGACAAGGAGTTTGATCCGTGAGTGTTCGCCTGGATAAGCCGTGGTATACATACTAACGTGCGATTGTATAGTTCTCAGATCGAACCCGGATGGTACGTTATCTCTCAGTATTAATCATGCAGAGGGATGCATCTTCTGACTTTGGGGGATTGTAATAGGCACGCTTGGATGTCATACATGGTAGACAAGTCACCAGCCGTAGACCCGCTTCTGCAGCGTCAGGTCCGCGTTTGGGAGCCAAAGGAGCACAGGCCTACCCTTACTTGGAGTCGATCCGGTTACAAGCCTTACAGCACGTACGTTCTAGATTCCCACCTCCAATTTTGCAATCTTTTGTAAGGGATTCCCTTGTTTTTGCTGACTTTATAAATAGCGTCAAGAACAAGTATTCCCCATGGACCCCCGTAGCCAAGCCTCGTGCGTAGATAGGGAAATCACCATTAGTCTTGCTTACGCAAAGTCATCAAAGCCTCTAGTTCTTCATTTCACGTATGTAGTTCTCGGAAGTTATATGTGGCTGTTTTCTTCCTTGGCGACAATCCATTCTCACGTCAGATCAAAACTGTGGCTTACGTATTTGTTTTATTAAGCCGAAGTGGTGGATAGCAGATCAGCTCATGACGAAAATTATCAGTTTTCCGAACATGAGATTTTTATTCTCGCATTTCACATCTTAGTATTGCGAAAAAGGTGATGAAAATGATATCAATTAACCATTATGAATGGTAGAAAGTAGATCATACCACATAATCATACATTCTATCATTACCAACTCTCGATCTTGAGAAGAGAAATAGAAAAATGCTCTCGCCCTAAGAAAAAAAGAACCGCAATCGACTGCGTAGATGCCAAAAAAAAGAGAGGGGTGCCTTGATGCAACTTTAGTTTTGCAAACTCTTAAGCAACATAGGCACAACAACCTGCTTGTTGTACTCCCAAATCATACTGCTATCATGCGCCCTCCACGCCGCACCCGTATAAAACGTGGACAACTGGTTCTGCAGTGCATTCATCTGATCGTAGAAGCCGGCCAGGATATCTTCAGTCGAGACCTGTAGGTAAAAAGGCTTGTGGGCCTTGAACGCGTGAAACTTTGGCTCCGTCTGAGTAAAAGAACCGTTGCCGCGGTTGACGGTCTGAATGCGCTTGATGTCCGCAATGAGGCGGGCCTTGACGTCGTCGTCGGTGAGCGGGGTTGGGGTACTCAGGCGTTCGGTTTGGTAATAGGCGGTAGAGAGACCTGGGATGCCGTTGGGTGAGACGAAGATTGTGCTGGGTAGATCGGGCTGGCCGACCGGGCTCAAGGGGTTGACGTTCTTGACCTGCAGGGTAGGGGGCAGGCCTGTGTTGGAGATGATGCTGGTGAAGTAGGCTGTGCTGAGCCACTTGCTGAAGACACTACGCTCAGCTTGAGTGGGGTTGAATTCCTGGAGGTTTTCTAGACGAGGGGGGATGGCGAGAAGGAGCTTCTTGGCGCAAATGTACTTGATGCCCTGAGGGGTCTTCACGACGAGTTCGACACCGGATTGCTTGCGGGTTGAGGCGACGACGCGGGAAGAGAGCAGGATGCTGTTGCTGCTGGCGAGCTCGGCGCTGGCTTTTTCGTAGAGCTCGCTGTTGTAGTGGCGTGCGGTTGTGACGAAGCTCGAGGCACCGATTTGCTGGATCAAGGATAAGCCAACGACGCGGGCCATCTCGACAACGGGAACAGTGAGGGGATTGCCAAGGCCAGGGTTAAGTTGGATGAAGATTGGGACAGCTGCATCGATGCCGAGTTGTTTGACCAGCTGACCAAAGGGCATAGCCAATTCCTGGGGCACAGGTCTGGGTAGAAACATGCCAGCCGCGAGCTGGGGGTACTTGGACAGGAAGGCCGCATACTTCTGCAGTGCTTGACCAATAGCTTGTTGAGTAGGCGCCTGGTCAGCAGGAATGTTGAGGATAGCGCCCGTCGTGTAGTCAATGTTGACACTTGGAACAGCTGCGACCGATGCAGGGGCCAGTGGAATATTGAAGCGCTGGAAGTACTGGTTGACAGTTGTAATGTTGTGCCAGATGGCGACACCATAGTCTGTCTTCAAGCCAGTGGCTGGGTCAATATAAGTGTGTGTGTGTGGCCACCTGCAGCTTCCTGGGCCTCAATAACAATGATCGATTTGCCAGCGTCCTTGAGTTGAATGGCAGCGTTAATGCCAGCGGAGCCTCCACCAATGATTGCTACATCGCGTTTGATGATGTTGCGAGCATCAATGTTGGAAGGGAGGGCCAAAGCAGATGAAAGGCCAAAAAAGGCAACAAGTGCCGTGGCAAGCACAGGTGAATGCTGCATTATGGAGTAGATATTATCAGGAAAAATATATAGGATGAATGAGTGACAATGGGTAGGTGGCAAGGAAGCAGTGGCTGATGTGGTGTGATAGATGGTGCCTTCGCGGCAGTTTATATCCTAATCCCTATTATCTTTTGCGTTAGGGCTGTAATATCCGGAGACGCAGGGGAAAAGACCGGTCAAATTTAGAGCCTGGTGAGGCGGGTTATTGAAAGACGAGCTACGGTATTGATGAGATTTTAGTGCGTTGTCGTCATGACTGTGATGGCTAAGCATAATCTTCGCGACAATCCCAATCAAAACGCATGAAGTGAGTTTCGAAGTTTAACAATGGACGTGAGTCATGATAATAGGAACACACCAGCTTCTCGAATAATGAAGGTCGTTTCCAGACTCTTGTAGATATCATACCCAGTAATCCATCTAGTACCTAACAAATGAGCTGCCGGCTTACAACGAGAAAGAGAGGCCCAATGCCGTGTGGCTCCCTGTTGGTACATGGACGGTATTGTCAGCTTACTATGGGTCATTGCTGATAGAGGCTGCGAGTCAGGCCTGCTTGATCGAATTGAGTTGCTTGGCAGCAACTACAATAGGATTCGAAGGAAATGAAAGACTGCGCAATGGCGAATGCGCCGTGCTTACAAAAACTCGTCTGTTGGAAATAGTGGACGAAATTCTTGTTTACCAGAACAGGCGGAGGAAAGCCCCAAGCCTCGCCGTGGGCTGAACCCAAGGCTCCATAAGCCGGAGACATGTCCCATCTTCCACGCAGCATTTATAGGCTTGTCATAGAACAAACTTTGACGATCGAAATGAATTGGCGGATGTGGATCGCCAGCTAAGCCCAGTACGTGGATGTGAGATGCGGAGGCAGAAGTACTTGTGGAGGAGCTGTGGGATGGAGGTGACCAATGCTACGATATGGAAGGTCATGGCTGCCAAGATACAGTCATGTGCCGTCGCGTCCCGATTGGTCGCATTCTTTGTTTGTCGCCTTATTTGAAGTTCAGTCTTGCTGTCAGCAAGACACAGTGCATAGCCTTTTCTTCTTACTCTGTTTTCACCCATTTCTTTTGGTGTTGTTTGACGAGCGAAAGTGTCCGACTCTGTTGGTGTATGGTACAACATGAGGTGGTGTACTGAATGTTCAGCACAGCACAGCAAGAGATACGAGGGTATCCAGGGACACACGTCTCACTCGAATCGGACATGACTAGATGAAGAGGCGTGGGTTTGGTAGAGCAGATACTGCAGGCGGCGTCACAGGTGCTATGGGATGCTTATACAGGAGCTGCAGATGGGGCTAAGTTGTGGGGTAATGGATCACGCAGTCCCACCGTGGCGTGTGGGCCGCTACTACCGCTTGCTTGGCTGCTGTAGGTACCGTCTGCCAGCGGGCGGGCGATGCGAGACGAGGGACTAGATGGAGTCGATCATGGTGGTTGGACAAGGCCGTTATGGTTACAAGGGCGATGCTGCATCCAACCGCTGGGGGCGCCGGAGTTGGCCGTAAGTATGCGTAGTACTAGGACGGCCGAGAGCGTACACACATGCAAAAGGGCGCATGGGAGTGGCCTCGGCTGCGCGTGGGCCTGCAACAGTAGTAGCGATGGCTTGACGGTATCATCTACTCGTCCAACGACGGTGACACGGCTGGTCCGGTGGCTCTGGCACTTGGATTGCTGCTGTCGTCCGGTGTAAAGGGAGGCCAATTGGCTCAGGCGTATATGCGCAGAAGGCGTCGGATCTCGTGTGGCGCCAAGCCATGATCGGTCAAAGTGCCGGATTACATCACCAACGGCCTTCGCGCTCCTCAACGTCAGTGCGCATGCCGAAAGGCTTTTGGGGCGACTAGTCACGGCAGCAAAAGGTGCGGGAAAGTCGAGCAGGCAACACCCTTCCTCGCAACCACCGCGTCAACCGTGCATCTCAGCGCCCAGAGGCATTGCTGCCGTCGTTTATTTACCGCCGCCCAAGCCCGAGCACCTCGACATCACTACTGCTTATATCCGTCGAGTCACGCTGCCGCCCTCCGATGCGCTTCACCGCTCGCCGATAACGAGCGCGAGCCTGAGTGTTGAGAGCGAGTGCGCGAGGCCTGGGCGCAATTGGACACGCCCATCACCACCACTGTCGCCGCTGCGCACTGCAGGCCTCGTACAACACCAGCCGACATCATGTTTGCCCACTGTAAAGGCCCGCTCTGGGGGATAGACGACTTCTCGGCCTGTTTCGAGCGCGAGTACGTTAAAGCCGCCGTTTGGCTATGCGCCACCACCACCACCATTACGAACAAAAGGCGCCAAAACTGACGCGCGCCACAGCTATCTCCAGACATTATTCCCGCTCATTGTTTGCGTCATATCGCTCCTCTTCCTGCTGCGCCAGCTCTACTCGGCTGCGACTGCCTCCAAATACTACCACGCATACAGCGCCCTCGACGATGCCACTAATCCCTGGTCTCTGCGAAGCCCCAACTACAACGGCGATGATGAGTACGACGACGATGCCCACGACGAGCTCGACCGGCAGCAAGACCTCGCCCTCCGCCCCGTCAAGACCATGTCCACAATCGCCGCCGACAAGCCCCGCGGACAACTGACCATTGTCGTCCTAGAAGAAGCCGCAGTTCTCGCACAGCTGGGTCTGCACATCGCCATACTCGTGACTCATGCTTGGGGCACCCACGCGAAGATTGCCGCCATTGCCAGTGTCGCTGTCTGGGCTTATGTTGCTGTTCTAGCCTCGCTCCGTCTGCTCTTTTCCAGCACCAGTCGCTTCTCTTTCCCACCCCTCTGGTACCATACCGCCTTCATCTATGGCTGCCAATGGGTCTTCAGCATCTTGCTTTTCCGATCGGCAATCATCCACCCCCGATCGACTGTGCATCAGAAGTTGATGATTGGCGACTTCACGCTTGTTTCGCTGCTCTTCCTCATCGCGCTCTGCTCCAGAAAAGGCAACAAAACTGTACATCTTGAATACGAAGGAGATATTGCCCCAGCGCGGGAACCTATCGCTAGCGTATTCTCCCTGGCCACTTTCAGCTGGGTCGACCCCATTGTTTGGACAGGATACAAAAAGACATATGAGCTCTCAGACGTTTGGAATCTGCCTTCAAAAGACAAGGCTGCAGCCGTCATTGCAAAATACCGCCAGGTCAAGAAGACTTCAAGCTTGGCCTACCACCTCCTGAAGCATTTCAAGCGCGGTCTGCTTATCCAAGCAGGGTGGGCTGCCATCTCTGGTTTCCTCACTTTTGCGCCTACACTACTCTTAAAAGTCATCCTCGAGTATGTTGAGCAACCAGATCAGACCCCGGCGAATGCCGCATGGTTCTATGTTATCCTACTTTTCGTCTCCGGTTCTCTCTCAGCGCTGGCTGATGGACAGGCACTTTGGCTCGGCCGTAAGATCTGCATTCGGTTACGAGCCGTCATTATTGGGGAAATTTACGCAAAAGCTTTGAAACGCAGGGCGGGAGCTACCACTGACAAGGTGCTGGGTGAAGAGAAGAAGAAGCAACAAGAGGAGGATAAGGAGGATGAGCAGCCCAAGGGGTTGAAGCGCATCTTCAATTTTGGCAAAAAGAAGAAGAATAAGTCTCAAACGTCTGACGATGAAGACGAGGACGAAGCATATTCAGGATCTGACGCTCAGGTCACCACCGGTGCCATCATCAACCTTATGGCTGTAGACGCTTTTAAAGTTAGCGAGATATGCGCCTATCTACACTTCCTATGGGCAAATACACCTGTTCAAGTCGTTGTCGCCGTGTTTTTGCTCTACCGCATTTTGGGCTACAGCTCAATTGCTGGTATCGGCATGATGATCTTCCTCCTTCCAGTCAACATGTATGTCGCTGGACAGTTTGCCAAGATCCAAAAGCTCATTCTCGCCGCTACCGATGCACGAATCCACACTACCAACGAGGTTCTAACCAACATTCGAATCATCAAGTTCTTCGCCTGGGAGCAGCGCTTTATCGGACTGGTCAACGAGAAACGATACATTGAGCTGAAGCACCTGCGCCGTCGCTACATACTCTGGGCTGTGGCCGCTACGATATGGTCGGGCTCTCCTGTTTTGATCACGTTCTTGTCCTTCTTGGTCTATACCAACATTGAACACAAGGCCTTGATTCCATCAGTCGCCTTCACCGCTCTCTCACTGTTCCAGATTCTCAGGATTCCTCTGGATCAACTTGCAGATATGGTTGCACACGTCCAAGAATCCAAGGTATCGGTTGACCGTATTGAGGAGTACCTGATGGAGCCTGAGACAGACAAGTATTCGCAGCTCATTACTCAAAAGAAGGATGAAAATGGCCAGCCTTTGATTGGATTCGAGAATGGTACCTTCAGCTGGGGTGGTACAGACATGACAGACCAAGCTGCTGCAGATGCATTTAAGCTTATCGATCTCAACGTAAAGTTTCAACCCGGCAAACTCAATGTTGTCGTCGGTCCAACTGGTTCAGGAAAGACCTCCCTGCTCATGGGTCTGCTTGGTGAGATGACAAAGCTAAAGGGCGAAGTCTATTTGCCTGGAGGAATCAGCCGAGAAGATCTTACCCCTGATCCTGAGACTGGCCTCACAGAAAGTGTAGCTTATTGTGCTCAGCAAGCCTGGCTAGTCAATGGCACCGTCAAAGAAAACATTGTCTTCGCAAGCGCATGGGACCAGAAGCGCTACGAGGAAGTCATTGATATCTGCTGTTTGAAGCGAGATCTTGAAATTCTTGATGGTGGTGATGAAACAATTGTTGGCGAAAAAGGTGTGACCCTCTCTGGAGGCCAGAAGCAGCGCATCTCACTCGCTCGTGCAATGTACAGCAAAGCCCGCCATGTTCTCCTTGACGATGTCCTAAGCGCAGTTGACGCTCATACTGCCAAGTGGATCTTCCACTATGCCCTCCATGGCCGACTCATGGCAAACCGAACCTGTGTCCTTGTCACGCACAACGTCAGTCTCTGCCTGCCCCATGCCGAATTCGCAGTAGTACTTGAAAACGGCCGCATAATTGCACAAGGCACCGCAGATGAAGTCATCAGTTCCGGAAAGCTCACTGAAGATCTTACTAAATCACGACCTGCCTCACGTGGCGCATCGAAACCTCCATCTCAGGCCCCCTCAGGTGACCAAGAGGCAAACGGCGAGGCTGACAGTGCTAACACCACTCTCAACGGCAAGGCTGACACCAAGAAGGTGCCAGCCAGCAACAGCCAAGAAGAGACTAAAGCCGAGGGCGGCGTGAAACTAAGTATCATCATAATGTATCTCCGAGCTATGGGCCCGTGGTACTACTGGGTTGGTGCCACCATCGCTTTTGTTGCAGCACAGATTTCTTCCGTCTCTACAAACCTGTGGATTCGCACCTGGGCAAACGCATACGCAGACAAGGGCTATGCTGTAAATGGCAACCACCATCGCTCACCTGTCACCCATGCTCCAACGCTGAGTGGTGTCGGAACATGCATGAACAGTGGTACTTGCAGCTGGAACTTTCCATTCTTCAGCCAACCGGAGCAGCCCTCGTACTCATACAACGCCATGCAGACCACATTCGGGGCCTCTGACCCAGAGGTTAACTCTCTCTATTTCCTTGGCGTCTACGCCATCTTGGGAGTTGTCTTCATGCTGATCACGTTCCTGCGTGAGGGCTTCCTTTTCGGTGGTTCACTGGCAGCATCACGACGAGTGCACGAGCGCCTGATCCAAAAGGTCACGCATGCAAAGTTCCGTTTCTTTGATCAGACCCCCCTCGGTCAACTCATGAACAGATTTTCAAAGGACATCGAGGCTATCGATCAAGAAGTGGCGCCGGTGGCTATCGGCGTCGTTCATTGCTTCGCTTCCATCATTACCATTGTCGTTCTTATCTCGGTTATCACGCCTGGATTCTTGGTTGCAGCATTCTTCATTTCCATTCTCTACTTCATGATCGGCAGGTTCTATATCAATTCCTCGCGCGACCTGAAGCGACTAGAATCCGTGCACCGAAGCCCCCTTTATCAGCAGTTCGGCGAGACACTATCAGGCATGACAACCATTCGAGCCTATGGTGACGAGCGACGCTTCATTCGCGAAAACCTTAACAAGATCAATACTCAGCATCGTCCTTTCATCTATCTGTGGGCCGCTAACAGATGGCTCGCGTTCCGCGTAGACGTGGTTGGCGCTATGGTTGCTTTCTTTTCTGGAGCCTTTGTCGTCCTTAGCGTTGGGCGCATCGATGCAGGTGCAGCTGGTTTGGCACTTACCTACGCTGTTACGTTTACCGAGAACGTGCTGTGGTTTGTGCGACTTTACTCCGCCAACGAGCAAAACATGAACTCGGTCGAGCGTGTTAAAGAATACCTCGATGTAGACCAAGAAGCTCCTTCAGTCATCCCAGCCAACCGACCGCCTTCTAACTGGCCAAGCAAGGGGTCTGTAGAGTTCATCAACTACAGCACGCGATACCGGAGTGATTTTGATCTTGTGTTGAAGAATTTGACTTTTAAGATCCAACCCGGAGAGAAGGTTGGTGTTGTCGGCAGGACTGGTGCTGGAAAGAGTTCTATGGCACTTGCATTGTTCCGAGCGTTGGAGGCTGAGCAGGGTAAAATTTTGATCGACGATATCGACATTGGGTTGATTGGCCTTCATGACTTGCGCGAGAACGTCGTCATGGTACCACAAGGTAAGCTGGCTTCTATCTTTCTGAAGATTGCATCTTTTGACACCATCTAGACCCAACATTGTTCACCGGCACGATTCGAAGCAATCTCGATCCTTTCTCAATTTTTACCGATGAGGAGATTTATACAGCCCTGCGCGAGGTCAATCTTATATCGTCACTTTCACAGCCTACATCCGGCACTTCAACGCCTATACAACCCACCCACCCTGGTGCTGTTCAGATTCCAGTCCCCACAACCGGCGCCGTTACTGCGGATGTGAATGGAAGCTACAGTGCTGCCACTACCAACCCTGGTTCCATCCTGGCGAATCGCGACTGGGACCGAGGCGAGACTCAGGATGATACGGTAGTGATAATGCCCAACGGACACGCTGCTGACCAAAAGGACGTAGCAGCACAAGCTGCCATGGAAGCCGACAACAAGAACCCATTCAAGAACCTCAACTCTCCCGTCTCAGAGTCCGGCTCCAACCTCTCCCAAGGCCAACGCCAACTCCTCTGCCTTGCCCGAGCACTCCTCAAAGCCCCCAAGGTCCTTCTCATGGACGAAGCCACAGCCTCCATTGACTACGCCACCGACGCCAAAATCCAAGAGACTATCCGCCAGATCAAAAACACAACCATCACAATCGCGCATCGTCTTCAGACTATCATCGACTACGACAAGGTCCTTGTTCTCGACCGAGGCGAGATCCTCGAGTACGGCCACCCATACGATCTCGTCCGCAAAGACGGCGGCTCCTTCCGCTCCATGTGCGAAACCAGTGGCGAACTCGCATCACTGACTAGCACGGCCAAGACGGCATATGAAACCAAGTATCAAACTGCTGCCGATACTCAGTGATCAACTCTCGTTTCTCCAAAGGTCAGAGAACAAAAAAGTCGATGTGTCGTTTCTTTTCTATTCGCAAACGTGGGGAGGGGAGTCAACCTAAAAGGGATCGGTGGTGACACAAAGCAAATCAAATGGGTGGCTTCTTTTGGCATTTCTAGTTTTTCTTTCTCTTATTTTTCCCCCCCTTCTCTAGAAATTTGTGTCAATACGGTCGTGGGTGGCGTGAAAGGGTGGTGTTCTTGTCCCTGCTTCCTTGGACAATGTTACAAGTGCTATCAAAGTCTTGTACATAGAGAAGCTTAATGCAAATGAAAATACGTCGTTCGTATACTTGATTCGTCATGTGAGTGATGCTTTTGTGATTCTTGTTTCCAGCTAGTTGTTTGTGATGTTTCGATATGCCCAAATGCACATGTGGAAGACTGGTACTTCAAGAACCATGTTGCGAGAGAGAGAGAGAATCATAGTGACAAAAAAAACCTAACTAAATTGCTTTGATTTTTGCACAAGTTGTCTTGTACAAACAAAGCCAAGCAACAAGTGATGATTAATATCGAAGCAAAAAAAAAGACAAAAAACAAGGGCCGAACCGGAGTCGAACCGGTGACTTCGGGAAGACGGTTTTTGGGAGAACTGCAGTCCTACACTCTACCACTGAGTTACCGGCCCGTTGTTGATGACTAATTGTAAAATTAGAAACAATATTATCATATAAAAATTGATAACTAATAGATTATAGAGAGGTTAGGTGAGGTTGTGGAACGAGAATTACACACATATCTCGAATACTGTAAACGTGGGATATACGAGGGGGAACGGTGGAGTCAGCACTTCATGTGGGGCAAAAGCCAATATAGTATCATCATCATCATCATCACAACGTTATTTTGTATAAATTTATATCAAAAAGCACAGTTATACATATATATCTAGGGGTATCAACAAAACAACAAACAACAGCAAACATCGACACTTCCCTCTCGGCTCTAAAACTCCAACTCCTCAACGTCCATTCCACACTCCTCACACCTCTTCCTCGTCATGCCAGTCTCAGGATCCAGCACGCTTCTCCCCCACTCATGCTCATGGCGATCGAACCTGCCTTTGATCCTCTGACCGAACTGGACTCCATCGCTATCTCCCGCCAGCCTTGCTCGCTTGTACGCCTCGACGCGCGTCCTCTTCTTGAGATCCTCTAGCTTGTTCTGGAATTTCTTTTGCTTGCGCTCTTTGCTGATGACTTGGCGTTTTGCGTACTCGGCGTCGAGGGCCTCGGGGGAGCCCCATTTCTGCGGGCTGAAGGCGTAGGCTTCGACTTGGAGGCGGAGGAAGAGTTGCATGGGGTGGAAGAATTGTTTGTGGGGGTTGGGGCGTTCGAGGTGGGGGAGGAGGTCTTCGTCTTTGAGTTCTGGGTCGGTGAGGAGGTAGTCGTCGCGGGCTTCGGTTTTTGTGAGTAACGAGTATTTGTCGGGGAACTTTTCTTTGCACGAGTTGCAGACGGAGATGGAGAAGGTGTCTTGCCATTTCCAGTCGATTTCTAGGCTGGAGCATTCGCGGCATTTGCCTTTGATATCGCGTTTGCCATCGCCGTATTTGCCTTTGAAGGTGCCGCTTTCGATTTCAGCGTTTTCGGCGGCTTCGAGGAGGGCAGCTTCTTCGTCTTCTTCTTTGCCGTTGACAGTGTTCAGGATGGAGATACCGGGTTCGTAGGGTCCCGCTCTGTTTGCGCGTAGCTTTCGCCTTATACGCTCCCTTTCCCACTCCGTTATTGTCATGCCTTCGGGCTTCTGCTCCTCCTTTGGCTGCCCCTTCCACATGGCCTTGTTATGTGGGTCATCCGTCGTGCTCAAGAAACCACCCTTTGTATCCGTCATTTTACTAAAGTCATACTCGATAAAGTCTGACCTGGCGTATTTCTTCGCGGGCTGAATGTAGTCGTTCGACGGAGGCTGTATGAAGCCATTCTGGTCGCGCTTCTGCGGTGATGCGGCGGCGGCATTTCGAACTGTGGATGGAGTCTGTGAGGTTGTAATGGACGAGTATGCGCGCTTCTCGCCTGTCTTGGGCGCTGACGATGATTGTGCTTGTTGCGCAGCAGCTTTTGATTTCAATCTAGCCTCTTCCATGCGTCTGATCTGCTCTGGAGTAGGAGGATTCGGCGGAAGTTTACCCGCTGAGCGAGTCACTCGCGGTGGTGTTGCCTGGCGTCCGGACATTTTGTGGCTTCAAATGGGCGGAATGCCAATATGGCGAAAAAAAAATTATCCAGAAGTAAGTAGTCCTCCGAGTGGTGACTGCAACAAAAGTAGCAGCGCACACGCGAGTGGCGACTCACGGTCGTGTAGTAACGTAAGATGACCGTTCCGGACCCTTGTTCCTGAACGATGATGTGCGCCAAGAGATGCGCGATCTGTTCCGTCCGATTCTCGTCCAAAGTCACTATTTCACAGATGAAATTTGCGAAAGCATTGCTCGTAAATCACTAATGATGTCAGATTGGAGATTAGCTGCGAAAAGGGCGGTTTGCCGCAAGGCCGTCAGCTTTGCGCCCTTACCAATCAACTCACTATGACTCCAAAATGTGGCTGTGTGCAATACGCTTCACAGTGCTGGCCATGACGAACTAAGGAACTGTTTGATAGTGTACTTTATAAGTACAAAGGGCTCGCTCGCCGTGCTGATTTAGAGTTTACCACTCTTTCGCCGCTTTCACTTCTCCTCGGTGAAATGCCAGACGCGCGCACACGTGTGCACGTGGCCAGCCCTACAGCAATGCCGTTAATCCCTGCTACCGATCTGCAAGCTGAAGCCAAAAACACCGAAATTCTAGCGCAAGAAGACGGCGATAACGACAGCGATACTTGCAGCGAATTCGAGACGCAAAAGACACGCAAACAAATCCGCAGAGAAAAGAACGAACAAAAGAAAAGAAAACAGGCAGTTGAACTCGCTGCTACTATTTCCAGTCTCGACATTGATCAGACTCAAATACCACACCCAATCAGCGTCTGTCCAGACCACCTATTTGCTCCACCACAACCGCTATCTCAAAGTCGCAAAGAAAAGCGCAAAGAAAAGAAACAACGACACGACTCCGCATTACCCACTCCCACTGATACGGACGTCGAATCCACCACTAAGCAAACCTCTCCCAATCCACCAAAGCAAACCCACCATCTCCCCACCCTCCCACAATCCCTAATGGCGAAACCCGCCGCCCAAACCGCTTACCCCCTCCTCGTCGCCTCAATCGGCAACCCAGGCCCCTCCTTTGCCAACACCCTACATTCTGCCGGCCACATCGTAACCTCATACCTCTCTCACGCGAAAAACTACACTCCCTTCCAAAAAGGCCTCTCAGGTCTCGTATCGCGGCCACAAGCCACCCACCTCGCCTTCAGCCTCACGGGCTTCCGCCGCGTCCCCACCGACAGCGACATCTACGAAGACTGGACCTTCTGGCAATCCGCCAGCCTCATGAACGTGAGCGGCAACGGCGTCAAGCGTGCGTACAACGAGTGGTTGCGCGAGATACGGCGGACGGCTGGGGACAACGGATTGCAGGGGCGGCTGGTGGTTGTGCATGATGAGTTGGAATCTGCGCTGGGGAAAGTCACGATTAGGGATGGGGCGGCGAGCGCAAAGGGACATAATGGGATTAAGAGTTGTCAGCAGCAGCTTGGCGGAGTGAAGTGGTGGAGGGTCGGGGTTGGGATTGGGAGGCCTGAGAGTAGGGATGCGAATGTTGTGAGTAAGTATGTGCTAGGGAAGATGACGGCGTTTCAGAGAGATCAGGTGGAGAAGAGTGCTGTGTCGGTTTTTAAGGCGTTGGAGGATATTGCGGCGGGGAAGAAGTAGATGGGGCTGTTGGAATGTGCATAGGACGATGTTTGTTATTGGCATTTTTTTTGAGGCGTTTGGGGCATGATACCCAGTTAGATGATAGACAGAGTGCATCACAATGTGTGCGTGGAACATGGAATGAATGAATGTAAGATGGATTTTGTAAGCGAAAAAGCATGCAAAGGTATCGTGTAGTCTCCAAATAAAATACCCCTAGTGTAAAATGTGACTCCAATCAACAAAGTGCTTGCCGCCAAAACACAATAGAAAGACAGGCCAAAGCATAGTGAGACGTGCGCCGCCAACTCCAACTCCACAATTAAAGGTATTAATCAACACTTCGTAGCAGCTTGTTTCCTCAGTTTCCTCCTCTCCTCTAACCTTTTCCTTGGGTCCCTATCACGGACTTGATTTCGGTCGTTCTTGACATTTGTGGATCCTTCTGTATGACGTGTCGTGACCTTGCTATCGTCTATTCTGGGGTCGGTACGGGGTTGGCGAGAACTGTTGTCAGTACTTCTCAACGCCCCATCTTTTGATGTGTTGTAGTTGTGTTTGGCTTCCTTTTTGGGTTGTGATGACGTTGCTTCGAGCTCTGGAATATGGGTAGCTTCTTGGGTCGCACGGTCTCTTCGCCTTTGGGGTTCCGCTTTTTGCTCACTCTTCTCTGACACGACGGCCTTTTCTTGAGATTGTAGTGTTTCTGTTTTCCTGTCGTTTGGAACCAATTTCGATACCCGGTTTTTCTTTGGTGGGGGGTTCCATTCGGGCCTTGTGTACGGTTGGCCTGTGGAAATAGGCATGGCCATCTTGTCCATTTGCCCTATTGAGCTGTCGTTGTGCACATCTAGCCAAAGGTCATCGCTGGGCGGTGATGGCATCGGTAATGGACTGGACGGCTGGATCGTGGCCATCGATTTGGGTGTATGGCTCTCTTTCGTTGGTTCGGATCTATGAATCTTCAGAGGTGACTTTGGTGGTTTCTCCTGCTGAGTGGATGCAAGCGCTTTTTCTAGTGCAGAGGTCTCTCCTTCTGCAGTACCGAATCTAGAAGGGACGATTGGTCGATTCAGTGTATCAGGAATAGTACCGCGGCGGACACGACGAGACATGGGCGATGTGTTCTCCTTGGTAGAGGACGCCATGCTGTTGGATGGGGCAAACGAATTATCCAGGTCCAATCCACGCAAAGGAGGTCGTGAAACGTCTTTGGCTCCATCTTCGTAGATTTCAAAGGGCGTCTTGCTTGGTGGGAGCCCTGACGAAGGTGCGGTGTTCGAGCCTTCCAGGACCGCCAATCGCGACTTGAGGGATGCAATCTCGATGCTTGATGACATATTTTCTGACATGGCCTTGCGAAGGCGCTCCTGGAGGTCCTTGTTCTGCTGCTCCAGTTCCATCTCACGCTGTTTATACCGCTTGCGCTCCTGTTCCAGTTTGGCCACTAGTTCGGTTACTTCACCATCTTTCTTCATGGCGAACTTCTTTGCAAGTTGTTGCTTGGCAATGACCTTTTTCATCTCTTTCTCGCTCTTGTCCGCATAACTCTCGTACTGCTCCTTCCAGTATTTTCCCGATTCAGAGCGCGGGGCTCCTAGGTCAATTGTAATGTCGCTGTCATCTCGCGCTTTGGGCTTCTGACCTGATTTTGGCTGGGTAGTCGTGCGTGCGTCTAGGAGGGCTTCGGTGAGGCGAGTGCGCGGCCGTGTTTCGCTCTCGGGGTCGAGCTTCAACTGTGTGCCAGGAGTCCAAGGGCTCGGGAACTTGCCTGGGCAGTCGTTGGGTATTCCGCTCCTGCCAATATTGCCGCGCTTGCCCTCGTTGTCTACAACTTGCGATCCAAATGACACCTGCTTGCGCCCCTTGCTAGCGGTACCTGGTGTCATAAGGATGCCGCCCGGCTGTTTCGACGGCGATATGGGTGGGCCATTCTCCTTGGGCACTGGAAGCACGAATGCTTTGGCATTTGCTGCGTCTATCTTTGCCTTTCTCTCTATTTTCTTGGATACATCGTCGGCGTCCTCGGGCGCAGGTGTCCCAAATATGGCGTGCTTGAAGGCCTTGACGGCAAATTGATGGGCTGGCGTTTCTGGTGGCTCAATGAATGTGGACTCGTAGTTGTTTTCTTTTATTGTTAGCAGATCTCGGCTGGCGCGCACGACAATGAGACGAACCAGGCTGCAGGTCCTCTATTACGTTAGTAATACGTGGACCAGTAATCCACGAAAACATGGTGACGTGACTGTTTGAGTGCGATGTCGGGGCTAGGGTATGGAGGAGGAGGTGAGGAGTAGTGGTGGTGGTGGTGAGGGTGGTGGTCCTTGCTGGGAACAAGGATGGGGTTTGTTTGGCGGCTTGTTTACTCGCTGAAAACAAGGGCTTTGGGGGCTACCAGTCAAGAGACCCAACACGGTACAAGTCGCACATGAAGGAAACAGGTGTTATCACACTTGGAAACCCTATGCGACCATTTCGAGGCTTATTCTGGTGAAAATTCAAGTTGCGATGGTGTTGGTTGGAGCTCCTGCCGTGGTCGAGGCACGGGGAAGTCGCGTCTGGCGGCTGAAGGTGTGCCTGCAGGGATGACGCGGAACGGTCCCAGGATGGCGGGGCTCGCCAACATATCGCCCCCACCGACCGCTACTTCATACCTGCGCATGCGCTGGCCGCAAACTTTCTACATTCCGTCATACCCCATCCCTTTCGCTGCCGTATTAACCACTCGAAATGTCTGCAATGTGAAGGGCAGCAGCCATGGCTGCTAGTCTGTCCGTATCCGTCAATACCACATGTATGACGGCCCATACAAGCATCCATCAGTAGCCCACTATGGCACCGCCTCAAACACCAAAGAACAAGAAACAAGCACACCATGCATCCACATCCCAGTTCACCGATGACACGCGGTCGGCGGGTCCCGTTGGGGACATGCCACGTCCGCTCACCTTGCAGCCCTCCGAGACCTATGAAAAGGCTCAGGAGGATGAGCGCGAAGTCCTAAAGGCTGTTTTTATGGACGATTATGAAGAATCAGAAGCCAAGGGTGCCTGGAGTGTACGTACCCAACCCCCCCATTTAAGGACTATGTCACTCGGCCCCTTGTCGGTTCACCCTCTAACTAAAAGACAGAAAACTACTGATCGCGTACTGCGCGTAAAACTCACATCCATTTCAGATGAAAACATATTCGTTACACTCTGCGCAAAGATTACAGCTACTTACCCTAGATCACTACCCGAATTGACTTTGGAAGATTGCAGCAGCTTGCGAAGATCCACTTGGGATAAGCTCTATGGGCTACTGAAACGCCGGCCTCAGGAACTGGTCGGAGAAGTCATGATGTACGACATAGCGACCGGGATCCAAGAGATACTTGAGGATGAGATTGCAGTCCGCCAAACCGATGGAGCCTACGAAAACCTGGATGCCGAACGAGCTATGCAAGAAGCGGCTGCGGCCGAGCAGTTGCGCCAGCATGAAGCTGAGCTACAGAGGAAGAGGGATGAGGAGAAAGCGCAAGAAGAACGGCTTTTGCAGCAAATGGTTGGTGATGAGATGCGGAGGAAGGACCTGATGGCGAAGCGCAAGAAGAACCGCGCCTCAGTCATGACCCCACCACCAGACTTTCCCAACGGAGATGGCGCCAACTACATTTCATTTGACAGAACCACTTCCATCCAGCATGAGGATACTACGATTCAGTGCACCGCAGTTGAGAATCCGCTCCCTTTCCGTTCTGGGCCCCTTACCGAACAACTATTGGTCAAGCCCATGGGTACGCCCGTAGCACTCACGCTAGTATTGAAGCGTGCTCGAGTCGGTGGCGGAAACACTGCTGCTGACCCTGGGCTGAAGAAGGCTATCATGGCATTTGAAGACGAGATGGAGGAGATTAAGCGGCTACGACAACCTGCTATAATGACAGTTTTGGATTTCAAGGTGGAGAACATGCCAGACGCTGGGTGGGAAATCAGCATCCTAATGGAACACGCCGACAGAGGTTCTCTGGGCGAGAAACTCGCTGATGATGGCCCGCTCCAAGTTGCAAGAGTCCGTTCCTGGACCATCGAGATATTGGAAGCACTGGACTTTTACCATCGAAACGGTGTAGTGCACAAACGCCTTCACCCCAACAATATTCTGCTCAAGAGGTCTTCAGGTGGCGGAATGAGCGTACACCTGACAGACGCCGGCTTTCAAGACTCATTATATCGTTTACAAAGCTTCTCCAAGGACAGACTCACGGCAAAGCCTCCACGGACATTCTACTGGATAGCTCCCGAGTTGTCCCAGGATTTACAGCACACTCGCAAGACAGATGTGTGGGACATGGGAGTTGTTTTCCTCCAGATGCTTTTTGGGCTTGACGTACCGGAGAAATACAATTCTCCAAAGGACCTCTCCGATATCCTTGGTTGTTCAGAGTCGTTGCAGGAGATACTACGCAAGTTCTTCAAGCCAGATCCCAAGAAGCGACACTCTGCTTTTGACCTCATCCCCTCCGAGTTTCTTCGCGATGACGTCGATGTCTATGAACGACCACGCACTCCAGTACGATCTAGAAATTCGTCAACCTCGCTGGGTCGATACAGGCTACGGCGTGAATCTTCCTCTGGTATGGTTCCAACATACTCGCGATATTCGAATGACTGGGTCGAGCAAGGTCGGCTCGGGAAAGGTGGATATGGCGAAGTTGTGAAAGCACGCAACAAGGTTGATGGTCGCACTTACGCCATCAAGAAGATCAAGCAAAAATCCGCTGCTGCATTAAGCGAGGTTCTCTCCGAGGTCATGCTTCTATCTCGGCTCAATCACAGTTGTGTAGTGCGTTATTACACAGCATGGCCTGAAGCCGAAGCGGACTACGACGACGACTACTCTGGATCATCAGACGGCGACGATTCTGATTGGGGTTCGGACGTTTCTCCGACTACGACGACAACTACGACTGATGGCGGGATTCATGGCAAGAGCGGTGGCGGGTTAGATTTCATCAGCTCCAGCGGGTACCCCAAGATTGAATTTGGATCGGATGCAGAATCGGATGAAGATGTTGGCGCTGTCATCTTCGGATCAGACTCAGGTCAGTAAAAGATTTCTGGCACTTTTTCTCCAGTACTGTACTAACCTACCACAGAGGACGAGGGTTCAGCTAGCATCGGTCACAGTCCACCGGGAATTAAGAGACGCACGCTATCCGACTCCAACCTTTCAAAGTCAAGATCAATTCTGTACATCCAGATGGAATTCTGTGAGAAGCGAACGCTTCGTGATCTCATTCGTGGAGGATTATACGATGACCCTGAAGAGTACTGGAGACTGTTTAGACAGATTCTCGAAGGCCTTGCTCACATACACGGACATGGCATCATCCATAGGGATCTCAAACCGGACAATGTCTTTATTGACTTGGCTAAAATCCCCAAAATCGGTGATTTTGGACTGGCCACCAGCGGACAATACCAGAGGCCGGACGCAAAATCCTCCGGTGACAGCCATAATGGCGGTGACATGACACGAAGCGTGGGCACGGCGCTTTACGTAGCTCCAGAGCTAAGTTCCAGTGTCACCGGCGACTACAACAACAAGGTGGACATGTACTCGATGGGGATCATCTTCTTTGAGATGTGTTTTCCTCTAAGGACTGCCATGGAGAGAGACAAGGTCATTCGATCATTACGTGAGCGGAAACATGAACTTCCTCCGGAGTTCGAGGCTCCTGAGAAAGCACTCCAAGGAAGCATCATCAAATCCCTTATCAGCCACCGGCCGTCGGAAAGACCCAGCTGTACTGAGCTATTGAGGAGTGGCAAAGTACCTGCCCAGATGGAAGATGAGGCTGTTAAGGAAGCCATCAAGGCTCTTTCCGATCGCAACTCTCCTCACTATGCAAAGATGATGGCTGCCCTCTTCTCTCACAAGCCTGACACACAAGCAAGAGATTATGCCTGGGATCTCGGCACAGCTAACCAAACAATCAAGGCAAATGAGGTACTTCTACAGAATCTCGTCAAGGACAGATTAGCTATGATCTTCCGGGGCCATGGCGCGGTGGAGATCCAGCGCCAAGTTCTATTGCCATGGTCTGATCATTATGCGAACAGCAGTGTCGTGAAGCTCTTCGATCCTTCTGGGACTCTTGTTCAGCTTCCTTACGATCTGACGTTGCCGTATGCTCGTAGCATCGGTCGGGGAGGTGGTTTCCTCGAGAAGACATTTACAATCGGTCAGGTTTACCGTGAGAACTACACTGGAAGTGCTCCGCGTAGTAACGGTGAGGCAGACTTTGACATTGTCTCATATGATGCGATTGATCTTGCTCTCAAGGAATCAGAGGTTTTGAAGGTTGTTGATGAAATCATCGACGAGTTCCCCTCCTTCCGATCAACACAAATGTGTTTTCACCTGAATCACGCCGATCTCTTGGAAATCGTCATGGAGTTTTGCAGGATTCCTGCTCCTAAGCGTACGGCAGTCAAGGCTGTTCTCAGCAAGCTCAATATACTGAAGAACAACTGGCACTCCATCCGCAATGAGTTGCGTTCTTCCGACATCGGTATTGCATCAACGTCGCTGGACGACCTGGCAAGATTTGATTGGCGTGACACACCCGAAAAGGCCTTTGCGAAGTTGCAGCGACTTTTTGAGGGAACAAAATACCTCGAACGGACACATTCGATATTCCGACACCTTTCCTCGGTAATCAATTACATGAAGCACTGGAATGTGAAGCGGAAAGTCTACATCAATGTCCTCAGTAGCTTCAACGAGAGGTTTTATACTGGGGGTATACTATTCCAGTGCCTATTTGATACCAAGCAGCGAGAAGTGCTTGCTGCAGGCGGAAGGTACGACAAGCTGATTGAAGAATACCGGCCAACTGGTTCTACTCACGCCCATCCGCTACCTGCATATCACGCAGTTGGTGTAAACTTAGGGTGGGATAGATTGGTCAACTCTATGGCTCGATACATCAAGAAGCCAGAAAAGTCAATGTTTTTGAAGAAGCAGGCGGACGACGATACCCCGCCTCTCTCATGGATGCCTCGCCGCTGCGATTGCCTGGTCGCCAGTTTTGATCCAAGTATCCTCCGAACCACTGGAATCAAAATGGTATCAGAGCTCATATCTCACGGCTACACAGCCGAGCTCGCCATTGACGCGCATTCTATCGAAGACATACTCCGCCATTATCGAGACGACAGGCACAGCTGGATTATTGTGATCAAGCACGGCGTCGCACCAGATAAACCCGAGCTCAAAGTGAAATCCATTGCCAAAAAGGAAGACACAGACATGCACAGTTCCAATCTCCTCAACTACCTACGCAACGAGCTCCGCGATCGGGAAGAACGGGAAGGCACAGCAGCTCGTCAAATCAAAGTTCCAGCACCAGCTCCCAACAACAAGTCCAACACTACGAAAGCCAACGTCGACGTTCTCATCGCCCAACACCGTTCAAAGAAGTCGAACAAGTGGTCCATTGTCGAAGCTGCGCAGTCCCGCTCCACAGAACTCCTTTCTGAATTTCAATCAGCGCCCATCGCTGCCATTGAGTCAAAGGAAGAGGTCATGAATCTCCTCAAGGAAACGCGACTCAGCGATCCGGATTCTTGGCGCTACTTCATCCAGAGGATGCCACTAGCAGAGCGAAAATACCTCCAGGAATTACATGATTTATTGTTAGGGTATAGGGCTAAGTGGGTGGAAGCTAAGGCGAATGGAGATGGAGAAGACGCCGTAGGCAAGGCGTTTGTGTATAATTTTCGTACTGGCGGTTGTTTGTTATATGATTTAGAAAGTTGAGCGAAAGCCCCACGATAGATTATCCAGCGTGGTAGAAATTAATATACCTTTTCATTATTATTTTTTTGGAAATAATCTGGTCCCTGTTCTCAAGTCATTTGCGAATTCGTGCGAACTGATTAACTAGCGCTTCGATACTACCTAGAAAAATACCTGATAAACAACTTTACCTAACCACACCCCACAACTCCCCTAGAAAAAATGCACACCCCCCTTAACCCCCTCCTCCCTCCCCACCCCCAACCCTTCCAACCCTCTTTTCAACCTCGCCCCCATCGCCTTCCCATACGCCTCACGATCATTCATGTCGGGCATCTCCACCTTCCCCGTTATATCCGTGCGTAACCACGCGACTTCCTTTCCCCCTTGTGCTGTATCACACGCCTCTTTTATCTCTGCAAACATGGCGTCGTCGAAGCCGCCGCCGAGCACGACTGCTACGGGGCGGGAGGGGTTGGTGGGGGAGAGGAGAGGGGGAATGTTGGATTTGGCATCTTCGAGGGAGAGGAAGGTGTGGGGGACTGTTGGTGGAGAGCAGTTGGGGTTAGTTTGGGATGTGGACGTAAGGGAGGTGGATGTAGTAGTAGACAGTAGCATTGCTTTTTTGACCATGGACAAGGGATGGGGGAGAGAAGAGCGACTTACCGTGGTATTCTGGTGCTACGCCTTCGCGTACAGCTTTTGCGATTTGGGGGGTTCGGCCGCAGAGGATGAAGGGAATGGATCGTGTTGCCATGATGGTTCTGTTTCGTTGTGGATGTTAGAGTTCCTTTACGAGGTGCGAGGGGTACGTTAAATAATATGGCGGGGGCTCATCGAGGTAAGAATGCGGGGTATGGTTGTACTTAGTATCAGGATAAGAGACACAATGCTCAGCTTACGGTCTGACATGGTGGTGGGCTTGGGCTATGCAGGTGTATGTTGTAATGCATGTAAAGTCCGGCGCTAGTAGGTGGTTAGCTCCGAGTTGAGTTGTTGGGAGCGTTCGAGGCTGGGCGGATGTGAGATGTGGCTTTTTTTTAAACTGATTGTGCTTAGGATGAAGGGTTTCTTCTTCTTGGCTGCTTTGGGGAGGTTCAATCACTATTTTCACGGTTCATGTGGCACATATTCACCCTGAAAGACTATGAGGTTGTGTTGCAAACAAGTATGACTGAAACGCAACATGTAGTGAAAATATGTAGAACTACCCCAAAAATCTATCGAGACAGTAGATCACTTCTTAGTCCATAAATACTACCTGCAATTTCAAGGAGTCTTTGTTTTGTGGACTTCGTAGTAGTTGGTCTTTAATTCCGAACTGTTGATACCCTTGAAAACCCCTTCAGTAACGATCGTCTTCTTGGTTGCCGGAGATTTCCATTTCGCTTTGAAGGGCACTCTGATGGTGTATTCGGTCACAGTCATAGTAACCTTGTAAGTCTTGTGTCCGGGGACGTTCAAGGGAACAGAGCTTTTCCAGGTCTGAGAATGACTGTTCGCAATGCCCCACGACAAGTTTGTATGGATCTTCGCACTGATCTTTACCTCAGCCTTTGCGGCGACAGGGATCCCAGAACTGAATTTAGTCGAAATGCCAAGCTCGAGCCCAACTTCAGACTCAAAAGTGTACTGTTGTTCTGTAGTCTTTAGAACCTCGATCAGGGGTGTTTGTGGTTCCGAAGTGTCATTTGTCGCTTCTTGTGAGTGAATATTCACGGGTCGGACAGATTCCGTGACAGTATTCTTGAGGTCAAATTCAATGTTGATGAGTTCCAGTGGTTCCGCTTCAAAGGTGAACCATTGGTCATTGAAGGTCCCCATGGCATTTGAGACACACCCAATCTCGTATTGTTGATTTGTTCTTGAGAAAAGAACTCCGTCGTTAGTGGGATTATAGATGCGGAATTGACCTGCTCGAATACCTTTGCCTTGTTGCTGTGCCAAATCGAAATACTGGAGATCCGAGCTGCCTGCAGGAGCAGAAGTTCCAGCAGGGCCCCACTGGAGACCATTTTCAAAATCGACATAAATGGCGCGATCGTTGTAGTCAGATACAATTAAGTATAGGCCTGCATTTTTGCCTTGACCCGGCCTGACATACCAGTACTGGTCACGGTAAGGAATCGAAATGTCAACATGGTTGAGTCCTAGTTTATCTCGCGCATTTGAGTAGAGTGCAAGTCTGCTTTCGGTGTTGATGATACGGACACGGAGATCTGGAGAAGGGATAAGAGGTTTGGAAGCCATATCGTTGGGGTTCGCTTGTAGCTTGTTGCTTGCTAATGAAGTGGGAAGGTTTATTTCGCTTCACCAGCAAGATTGAACCGTGATATGTAATCGTCGTCTAACAAACCTTGCTTTTGAAGTCTTTGACGTAAGTATGCACATCTCGACTGCATACTCATTCTGAAATTCCCCGTATCAGGGAAGGTCTATGTTTTACTTGTTCGGTCCAATATGAATAAGACTAACCGCGTTTGAAATAGTACTCTGCTTCCTATGCACCGGCACATGAATACGATTGAGGCTAGAGTTTTTTGATCGGTCTCGTACTATTGGCTCCGCTCACAGGCCACTTTTAAAGCTAAAATAGAGATGTAGCGTTTATGAGGAGCCATGCGTGGTGATACTCGTTCTTTGTGATAAGTGGTGGATGTAATGGTTTTGCTAGTTATTAACTATAGCGGGATTTCTTGACTGGAGGTCCCCCGGTTGTCGATCCCTTTCGCAGGGTATTCTTTCTGGGTATACACAGACAAAATACCGGTGAAGGTACTCAGTCTAACCATGACGCCAAGAGTGTCATGATAACTCTGACCGATCAGCCCCTAAATGTCATCGGTAAAAGTCCCCGATGTGACTAGCAGACGTACTCTAATGCAAGTGCTTTCGTATACATGCGGTATGTACGTGTTCTGAATGGACTTTCCGCCCACACGAGCCGTGCCGCTTTCCGGCCCACTTATTCAATTCCGCCGACGGCATTTAAGCCGTAGAGATATTAACTGTCACACAAGCAAAGAAAAAGCATTGACGGATCTACATGAATCAACGTATTTAGAGGAATATAGGACGACCTCCATGCAGGATGACCACAATATATTCGCCTAAGATCACATCGTACGATACCGCTATTCGGGTACGGTGAGCAAAACAACTAACAGTAGTTTTTATCTCTCGTGATTACCTTGGCCTGTCTGTTTCTAGCTTGAGCTTAGTGTGTCAGCTTATCACAATATATTTGCAGTCATATTTTGTCTAGCTAATCAGCGTTTTGGTATACCTGTGTATAGATTCTCAGGATAGTGAGAATTAAGCCTATCATACATTCCGTTCAAAGTTTCGAATTTGCTACCCAATTCTTTTTTTTAAGAAACACCCATGCAAGAGTTGGGGACATATCTTGAGTGGCACAAAGCTCATCTATTACTTTTTTATTATTTGCTAGTCAGAATACGACTGTAAACATAACGCATTTCTCACGAAAGGACAGCAGGCTACGCCTGATCTGCTGATTTCAGACATAAAAGAAATCAAACACGCAACGTTATGACGCACCCAAAGTCACCACATTTACCCCTGCTAGTCACAACATCGCGCTTCAAGCATATCACCAATACACCTTCTCTCAGCCCTACTCCGCATTGAGATAACGACCATGCGTGGAAGAAGGAAATACATAGCTTAAGTGTACATTAGCTTGTATGCGTTGCTTCGACCCGCTGTCAAGAGCCCATCGCCGATGCAGTGTCTTGCGGAGCCAAGTGAAAGCGGTGAAATCAACACTGCAATAGGAGCTGTAAGACTGTTATGATTTAATCTAATAAAAAAAACTCCTGTCAACCAATAATGTCCAGTTCATCCCTGTCAACACGGATAAGCTATCACTTTGAAAATGGTGATGTAGATTGAAGTGTATGCTGCGTTATCTGCAAAATCATTCACGAACTGTATGTTGTACTCAATGATACAGTTACTATGTCATTGAAATAAACATAAATTATAACCCAGATGGAAATAGCATTCATTCAATTCCGGATACAATATGCATCTCTTTACTCAACCACACTACTCCCCATCTTTGGATATAGAAAAAATAACAATATCAAACTCCATTCTATGCAACTACCTCGATCCCCCCCCTCTTTCTCTTCCTCAGCGCATTAAAATCGTTTTCGTAAAGGGGTATACCGCTTTCCCACATCAAATCCAAATGCAAGTCAAATTCTCAAAACAGAATTCCTAATTTTCCCCACACCTCTTTTCCCTCTCTCTCCCTTCCCCGCAAATCTAAAGAAATCTCCCAGTCCTAATTCCTCACACCTCCCGGAGCCCCGCACCCATAGCTCGCCATATATGCGGCATTAACACTGCGATGATGCTCACTAGCATGCCTCTTGACGCCCTCCCACATCTTCTTGATGCTCGTGTTGATCTTGTGCTGTGTCTTTTCCTCGTTTTCACGCTGTTGCTGGAGGACGACGAAGTGGTGGGCGTCGTGAGCCGAGTCGTGTGAGGCGCGGCGGGAGTGGGCGGCTGGGGTGGTGGGGATGGAGGGTGAGGGGGTGGAGTTTGTGGAGCTCATTTTGTTTGTGAAGTATGTGGAGTTTGAGTAGGTTTGGTTGGTGAGGTTTGTTTTGCCAAATGGACTTTTAAGTAGATAGTTGTAGCTAAAAGTGGCAGATGCAGTAATACAGTGCAGACTTGATATTGGTGAATTTGTCGATGGTACAACCCTCTCCACGCTCTTTATATACCCCCAGAAACTCCTCCGTCAAGAAACCAAGGCCAGAAAAATTTCTCCCCAAATCCACACACACCAACCCCCCAGATCGTGAGACTACAACACGTGCACTACCCCCGAATTTTCCTCTTGACCCCAACGTCTTCTAGAAAGGTGGGTCAATTACACCTTCAAGGAATCTCACCACCCAAGTCCACCAAATCCAAATCCCAGAACCAAACGTCAAAACCACACCGCAAGACGTCACAATTAAGCCCTCCCCACCCCCAAGATGCCCTGACTAACTCCCCTTCCGGCATCCATCATCCCACAAGCAGTAAAACCCACACCATTTACTCTCCCACACCAGTCTAGCTCCCGAGTCGAACCCGGTAACATGCTAAGCAAACAGGCCCATTCGGCTTCCGTCGGCTCAGCCACACCAGAACCTTTTATATACCGCAAGTGGTACCCACCACATAAACATGGCAGAAGCAGTGTTTGACACACAAGTTACCTTTAACAGCCATTTCCATGTGTCATAGTGTGCAAAAAATCTCGTGGTTGAACTGGGCTGTTTTGCCATGTTGCGGCTATTCTTTGCCGCAGAGCCCAACAGAATCGGCCTTTTTTTGCCACGTGTGAGACGCAGGACCATGGCGACATGCCCACGTGAGATGGCGAGAGGGTGAGAGTGTCGGTGCGCCATGGGGGTAGGGGGGGTAGGGGGCGGAAACAGGTGCTTGGACCGGCAAAATATGGATGAGGTGAGTATGGAGGAAAAAAAAAGTCTAAGATTGTGGTATATCATGTGTTATGAAATTATGGCGAAAAATCGCACCATCAGATATTCAAACTATGCTTGCCATGACGCCATTCTATGGAAACTAATGCGGAATTTTAGATGCTGGGGAACCTCATCAATTAGTGCTGTGCAGCAAACGACCTGCTCTCCTTGCTTCTTCCACTTCCGCTGCCGCTTCCATATGTTACACTGCTGTCGTCGTCGGAGTCGAGACCTTCCAACTCGAACTCGTCTGCACCTACTGTTCTGCGATCCACTCTACTGTAGCCGTTGCCATCACCGAGTCCGTTTAGATGAGGCGCCTCGGCATCAGCTTTGTCGTCCTGTTCCCAGGAGTAGACCGCGTACAAGTGAATGAGCATATTGACGACTGATACCATATTAGTTGAAGAAAACACAGAAAGACCATGGGATACTTACAGAGGAACAAGAGGAAAGCAACGCTGAACAAAATCAGCACATACGACACATGGGTCACATTTGCATCAGAAAGAAGTTGCATCTGCTCTTCTGTAGCTCCCATGAACATGAAACCGCCTGCCATAAGCAGAAACGGCGTCATGTACTGGAAACTGTTGGGGTCTGAGCCATCGGCAGCGACAGATGTCCTGTCCTTGAGCACAAACGAAATCTCAATGATACGCGCAGCACCTGCAGCCATCAAGGTGTATCCAAGGACGGTATGAATCATGGTCGAAAGAGGGAGATGCTGGGGGTGCGCCGACATGGCCCATCCAGTCATGAGAATGACGATACCCGGAATCAAGTTGCGCTTGGGCTGTCCATTTCGCTTTCGGCTGAGCCAGATACCGACCAGACCAGCGGCCCACCACACAATGCCCATGGATGTATGTTGAAGGTCGTTGTGAACCCACGGGTGTCCCCATCGGTGCTCGGTAAAGGTGTTGACACAGCCCCAGGCAGCAATGACAATCGAATCAAAGAACTCCTGGCTCCTGCCTGTCCTCCGCAGCCACATCTGTCCAACCAAAAGCAAGATCAAGAGAATGATGCCGTATGCGATGAAGGCGCTACCCATGATGAAGTGAGCCAGGCACTGCCCGGTATGATCGGCCCTGCAGAAACCCAGAGCTGTGATGCCTCCGAAAAGGAACTGGACCCATGTTATGACCGGTAGAGCCTTGCCGACCACTCCGTGCACCTTGATTACAACGCTGCGAATCTTTCCGTTGATGCCTTTCTCGAGATGAAGCTTTAGGTAAACGCCCATGGCGATCTGGGAAATCAACATGAGCATGATGACGGGAACAAATCTAGCGTGGATGTTGTCAGGGGAGAACTGTCTGCCGCCATGGTGGTGAGCCAGGAAGTATCCGATGACTGCGAGGATAGAGCCGAGTGTTTGTACGGGAACGTGCCATTTGGATCGTATTATCTGGTAGAAATGTTAGTTTGATCTTGCTGTGTGTATGCGAATATCGGCTATCGTACGCCCAAGACCATTCCCGTGGGGAAGATGATGCCCCACGCGAGCGACTGTACCAAGATGTGTGTCCATAGCACCGAATCCTGCCAAAAGGTTAGCTGGTACCCACAGTACGCCGTTTCTTGATAGCGCGTACAATCGGATCCTGGGAGACGGTATCTCCTTGCTGTATTTTGCTGACTTCGTGGACATGCGCGGTGGCCATGGTGCTGCAGAGGAGCGTGGCAACGGCCACTCTTGTTGTGATAAGGCCCATGTCGTCTATCGGGCTTCAGAGGGCAATTCGGGTGGCGCGCCGGTGGGTTATGAGGATCCTTTGCAAGACGTGGAGAGTTTCAAGGCCACATCAGGCGCGTATCAAGGCAGGAGTTGGGAGGGGGGGATGACCCTAGGCCGTGATTGTTCTCGTGTTAATGCAATGCGTCGTCGCAATTTCCAGTTCACGTGAACCTGCCGGCCCCTTGATTGGCTTCCGCCGTGCTCCGTCCGCCGAACCACAACAACTACGACCAACGTACACTTGTACACCCCTCTGCAACTTTGACATCAGCCAACATGGCTCTCGACAAGAGCGTCACAGAGATTGCTGACTCGGACGAGGAGCTTGTCATGTCTTCGCCTGGTGTTGGTTCATCTGATGTGGCGGCTAAGCTCCACGCCATGGCCTCTGCTGCGCCACAGGAGCCCCTTCAGGACGCGTACTGCACTTACCAAGCTCACCCACAAGCCAACGCCAATACGGCTCCACTGAGCACCGTTGGCTTGGATCTCGGTCACAACGGCGCTTCAGTCGATACCGATGCATCTGGTACTGACTACACGGACGTGGAGCCCCAAGACGCAATGCTTCCGCAAGAGGAAGGAGCAGCACTTCAAATGAGTCCTCATGAACGAGCCGTCCGCGCGCATATAGACCCGCTGGGTTTTGCACACGGAGCCCTTCATGCGCCAGTTGCGAACAGAAGCACGGTGCAACCCGAGTCACTAGCAGGGGAATCGTGGCCCATCAGTGCTTCACCAACTCCAGACAGCGCCTCTCCGCCAAAAGACGCTTGCCCTCAGTCTACCCGAGACATCTCCAGTGCATGCCAATCGCAAACTGCCCATGGAGAAACAGTTGTAGTGAAAGATGAGGTCATACGTGACAACTCATCACAGCCCAGATCGAACGACGTGGACCAAAATGCAATCCAGAGTGCAGACATGATTTATCCAAGCGAGAGCGCAGTTTGTTCTTAACCCGCTCGTCCTCCGGTGTCTTTGCTCACACAATTTAGGTGCACAGATCTCAAGCCATGGGCATATCTGACACGACAAGGATCTCTGCAGCAACAATCAACTCCTCAAATCCAACGACCCCAGGCATCACAGCACCAGCCTTGTCCGCGCCCAAGGACATGGGCGATGCTGATCTGCATCCCGATCTTAGTGAAATCCAAGCTGGAAAACCACGATTAAATACCAGTGATCACAGGCCAAGCATTCCTTATCATGAGTCAATAGTCGGCGCACAGGAGTCCATTACCTTCACACCGCAAATTCAGCCCTTCCAAGAAAAGCCTCAGGATCCAAGCTCCGCACCTCAACAGGCGTCACAGCTGAAGGACCCTGAAAGTCATGATCTCAATGCGAGTGGTGCACCCCGTAACTCCACTTGCGAATCTCAAAACCAACCTACTATGGGAACTTCGCCGACAGCCGCTATGCGCCCCCCAAGAATTCCCCAGGAAACCACTCTATCGGAGTTGAAAGCTCACAAGGCTGCCCTGTTAGCCTCTCTGCGTAGTCTCCCGGCGATTCAGGTTCTTATGGAAGAAATGGCGTCTTCTGACGGTGGCGCAGATGGACGGTACGACGAGCCTACTGACGCGGACATCATGACTGCAGCGAACAAAGTCGTCAAAGAACACATCAAGCTACTGCATGAGTATAATGAATTGAAGGATGCGGGCCAGGGTCTCATGGGGCTAATCGCCGACCAGCGGGGTGTCAGGATTGTTGAGGTTCAGGAGGAGTTTGGCATTGATGCAGAAGATTGATTAGCCATCAGGTCTTGAATGCTTTGTCATGGCCAGGAACGGGTGAGTCTGCATTGACTCGTGAGAGTGGCGGAAAAGAGGAACTACCGGATACATCCCTCCGGAACCTTCTTGACGTGTATTCGATTAATTCTCCGCGTGTGTTTACTCATCCCAGCTCCTTTTGCTCAGCGACATTGCGAGTCTGCTGGCTCATTCCATCGGGTAGGCTTACTTTGTCGGACAGGTCCACTTCCGTTCGATCATACGCCCATTCTACCAAGCGCTGCTTACATAGTCTACTGCCAAAAAAGTAGTGTCGTCTTGGCCCACACTCGTGTTCGTGATCTACAAACATGCTTGGGGAAGGCAAAAGTGAAACATGGGCTACTCATACTCTAGCGTGTGTGTAGCTCATTTTGCATGCAAACCGGGCAACTCTAGCGGACCTTGAAAGCACGCGACAGTCGGTCCGCGGAAAACCTACCAACTACGCGGTACCATCTCGTGCAGCCAGACTGGCGGGTACCGAAAATCTACCGATGGGGCTGAACGCCATCCGGAGGATCTTCGGCACCACGTTACACAACATCTCGTCTAATAAGTTTACATGGACTGCATGCGCATCTCCTCTTTAACAAGGACGAACGTATATTCTTGTAGATGAAAGAACACGACTGCAAAATCCGCGTGACAAATGCCGCATCTGTAACTTGAGTGTTAGTGTGCTGGCTAGCTCGGACAAGATCGGCCATTATGGCCAAGCTTAAGGCTACTTATAGGAACTACTCAACCAAGCATGTTGACACCACCTCCTGCGGGTCTTCTTCGGCGATTCCGACGTTCGTAGTCAGGGGCCGCGGTGCGATTACGGCTGGCTCCGATGACGCTAGAGGCGAGTAAGCGATTCTTCGAGACTGCATCAATTGGTTGCAGTGGTCGGGAGGCAACTCTAGATTCTCGGCAGATGTTCAATCTTGACAAAGGACGGTTGCGGCTGGGGCACTACTGCTATGACAGCAGCTACCACGCAAAAGCAACAAAGGCGACAGCAGACTCATGAGAGCAACGGCAAGGCCTCCCTGAGCAGAGCCATGCGAACTTCTCCTCCACTAAAGCGGAATTGCGGGACCATGTTCCTTGTGCTTGCATGGTCATGTCAATCATGATCGGCAGACCCACATCATATGAGCAGGGGAGATCTCAAGTAGTGTCGAGGTTCCAAGCGCTTGGAAGTATACTCACGGTACACAAACATACCTACATATCTACCGCGCCTGGCCCCTCTCTAGGCTTGAGCAACGGAGTTTCGCGTCGCGTTCTTGACATCTGCTAAACAATGTAGTGCCCGCAATGTCGAGAGTGGCGCGGGTTGCTGTCTACTTCGGGGCAGTTGTACCGTGCAACGCTACCCGCGTCTCTACTCCACAAGAGTCTCAGGATTTTAGTGAGTGGCGTCTACGGACAATGATTGGCGAAACAGAAGACCAAGAGAGGAGCTAGCCCGTTCGCTCGCAGCTCAACTACACGCTACAAGCCGTCCTGCCTAGAATCACCCATGACTAGTCAGTTCGCCATTCGAGATCTCGTCACGGCACCTGTGCACCTGCCGATGCAGTAACATCCCCTTGCAAGGGTCTAGAATGATATATGTATTGTTGTTGCAGAGGCCCCGCACTTTTGCCCGGTAGGATCTTAATTCACCGAGTTTTCTTCTTCCCCGGAATCGACTCAGACTCGACTCGGAGTTGTGGAGCAGAATGGCATCTGTACAAGATTTCCAGCTTGCAGCCCTTGCTGCTGGCTTCACACTTGGCTTCGGCTTCTTGACAGTATGGGAGGCAATCAAGCAGACACGGCGGAACCACAGCCCGTTACGCTCTGCCTATATTTACATGGTATGGGGTGAGATTGTGGTCAATATTGGCATTGGAGTCATTGGATGGCTCTTTCTCAATGGTACAGTTGGGCCGAGGTGAGTAGTTCCTCTCTTCAACATTGCTACAAGAAACACCAACTAACACACAATGCCACAGTGTACCAGTCTTGTTCTCCATCCTGTTTTTCTGGGTGTTTGAGATCCAACTGCTGATGCAAATCATCATCAATCGAATTGCACTCATTGCCGAACACCGCAGTACGATCAAGAAACTCAAATGGGGTACCTTCATCTTCATCACCGCCATCAACATTGCCGTCTTCTGCATCTGGATTCCTTCCCACACAAGTCCTCCTCTCCACGAAACTTTTGTCAAGATCAACAACGTATGGGATAAAATCTCAAAACTCCTCATCCTCATCGTCGACGCAGCACTAAACTGGTACTTCCTGCGTACCGTCAAGATCCGGCTGGTAAACCAGCACGGCCTAACCAAATACGCGCCACTCATCAGCTTCAACGGCAAACTCATGCTCATTTCCATCGCCATGGACGCCCTCCTCATCGGCCTCATGTTCCTCCGCAACCAAGTCGTCTACATCCAATTCCACCCCGTCGCCTACATGGTCAAGCTCAACATCGAAATGTCCATGGCCTCTCTCGTTGTCCGTCTCGCGCAAGGCAAATCCCAAAACGACATGGGCCCCGAAGAATTCCACAGCACCACCGACCCCGAATCGCACTCGCGCTCTGCCGCCGCCGCACAGTCCCTCCACCTTACCAACCGCTCTAAGCGTAATAACCCTTCGAATATGCGTAGCGCGGGTCTCAGCAAGATCGACAGCGATGAGAGCCTCGACTTTGGGGGTATTCAGTGTCACACTGAACTCCGTATTACACATGAGGACCGCAAGGATACGACTGATAAAAGGGATTTTGTGGAGAGTAGCTCAAGGAGCAGTAATGATGCGCCTGCGCTCAGCGTGTTTGGGGATGAGACTCCTTTGCATAAGAAGACGTTTAGAGTGCAGGAAAAAGAGGTGTGATGATATATTTCTTTCTTTTTCTTTTGTTTGACATAATTTAGATAGAACTGCGTCTCTAAATTGTAGTAGTGATACCCGCATATTTAGCTTCTTTTGTAATATATGATGAGAAATTATTCATGCTACTCTTCTTTCTACAGGGTGTTGTTGCCAGGGGCGTAGCCAAATCACATATCAGAATGTTTTCACAAACAACTAGTAGGAGTCGAGGCATAGCCTTCATGTAAGATGGATACTATTCAAAACAAACATTTTCAAATCATCTAAACAACCTTACCGAATATTAACCTCCCCTTTTTTTCATAAAACACACCATCACCAACCCCAAACCCACCCTCTACTCCACCAACCCAACAATCCTCCACCCCGCCCCTTCCATCTCCCCCATCGTTCCCACAAAAGAAACCATATAACCCACCCTTCCCTCCGCCGCCCCTGCAACAACATGCCCATACACCTCCCCATTCGCCTCCCTAACGACCAACGACCCGCAGTCCGCAACGCCCAGACTGCCCTTATACTCAAACCGCAACACCTCTGCCACTTTACTGCTCCCAGGCAGCCGCAACAGCATAGGTGTTTCTAAGAGCGAAGCGCGGAGACGGCCCCATGTTGTGTGGATTACGACTTTGGCTTTGTGAGGCGGATGCGGGGTTGAAGGGGGAAGAAGGGGTTTAGGGGGAGGCTGGGTGAGGGGGTTGGAGAGCGAGGAGAGAACGGTGGCGTTTGTTATGGTTATTAAGGTCCAGTCTTGGTTGAGGGTTGAAGTGGGGGCAGTGGGGGTCCAGTGGCCGAGGTGGTGGAGGTCGATGTCGTCGAGGCGCATGGTGCGGTTCACGTAGGGTTCTGGGTGTGCGGAGGAAGAGGCGGGGGTAGGGAGTAAGGATGGGGCGTCGACTGTTTCTGAGGATGGGGATGGGAGGGATGAGTCGGAGAGGGTTGTGCTTTGGGATAGATCGGGAGATAATGACTCCTGCGAGCTTTGGCTGTATCGTGATAGGAGTTCGAGGTCTTCCTCATCAAACTCGTCAGCGTCCGAGTCATCGTCGACGCTGATGTCTTCGCCCCATCCGATAACAGGCTCCGTCGCCACATCTTGTGCTTGGAAGACGTGTGCAGCTGTAAAGTACCCAAGTCCCTGTTCGCTGACCACTGCGTTGCCAGTGGCCTTCTGAAACGTCCCATCGTTGTCTTTTACATACAGTGCCATTCCTATCAACTGAACCTCGAATCTGGGATCATAATACACCTCGCGCCGACCCGGAACGGACAGACTATCTTGATTTTGTTTCTTGGGTCCCTGAGCAACTAGGACCAAACTCCCAGTAGGCAAGAGATCCATAATCGCAGTCTCGAAGCCCGGATACCGCTTCAAGATTCCACTCTTCTTTACAATTTTCTGCGCTTCCTTGGCTGCGTTTCTGTTTTTGCTTACAAACACAAAAACAGGGACGGCTGTAGATGGAGAGTAGCCAATCATGTACACACTGATGATGAGACCCGAGCGATCAGGTCGTTCAGTGCATTCGTTCTCAAGTTTCTTCCATACCAGGCGGCTGAAGCTGTTATAGGCCTTCAAGGCCTCGCCTCGGACCTCCCAGCATAGGTCATCTTTTTGCCATGGGGGATACTTGAGGCAGCAGTATCGGGTCATGAGTTCTCCTACGGATTCCTCAGGTGAGGTGAATTGGCGGGTGCGCCGAAGCATTGGGACACGTGACTCGAACATAGTGACGGCTGGCTACGAATTGAAGTGATACAGAACGTTCAGGATTGAAAAGTGATACAGAACGATTGAGGACGATAACGCAGCTATTGAGGACTAAGTAAGAGGGGGTTTAGTAAGAAGGGGAGTACGGCTGTGCAGATAGCGGGGTGGTCAACCCCAGACGCGCCAGTGTGCCTGCGGCGCAGCAAGGAAACTCTCATCCTATCATTTCCGGTCCAAGGCTGGAGCGCATCTGCAAGTAGCGAGGCGCAGTCCCTCCTGCACACTACTATCGCGTAGCCTGCAACTTGATCCCTCGCTTCAGCATGCAGGCTGAGCAACATCATATTTATTGCCTGATTAGCAGTCCCCACTATCAACAGCCTTCTTCTAGGACAACCATATCCAAAGAAAAATGTCACCCCAAGACAACCCAAGTGTACCAGTTGAAGACGAAAAGCTCCAATTGGAAATCATATCCAAACTATGGCATCAAACCGCCCCAAACACCACTGACTCATCCGATCTTCACTGGGCCCCATACATGCTCTATTACAACACCCAGTGCAACACCGCACTCCAAACCGAAAAGGGCAAATATACCACAATCCGCACACACGCCGATGTCCAATGCATCGCACAACACATGCATTCTTCAACCCCAAAAGCCGACATAAAATCCCACATCCAACCCTCCATGCAAGGACGCCGAACCCCCGAAGAAGCAGACACCATGCTCGAAGGCTCCGTCATGCTCGTCGCCCGCCTCCTCAGCATGACAGACATCGGCCCCTTACCCTACACCCGCCGCGGAACCCAGCACTCCCTCACTTGGACATCTCCCTCATCCAGCCTGCAAGACCTCCTCAGCTCACACTTCGTACCGCAGGACCCTTCAAGCTACGAACATGACGCCGCAGACATGTTGTTTGGCGAGGACTTCACAGCCTACAAACTGCACCGCTACTGCGGCGTCGAAATCACTTGGACAAGTAATCTAGCAGACCACCTGCACCTCTCGCGCGGTGGGAAGCAACTCTACATCTTCCACCACGCGTCATTTCTGCAATGGCAAGATGGCGTCTTACCGGATGGTCTAGCAGCAGAAACGCTGGATACGCTTGCCCTGCTTTTCCCGGCTAGCGATGCGAAGACGAGGGAGTGGGTTGCGCATTCACCGCACTTGGCGGGCGTCGATATGCGGATTTTGGAACTAGGGAGACTGAGGGATTGTCGAGGGAGCGACTTTAGGTATTGGAGGAAGAGGCTGGGGGCGCTGGAAAGGGTGTTCGAGGCGCCGCATCGGAGGTCGATTGTGCAGCAATGGCGGGATAGGCGGGATAAGGCGCAGTGGTATACGTTTTGGGTTGCCATGGTGATTCTGTGCCTGACGGTTTTCTTTGGCGTGGTGCAGAGTGTCGAGGGGGCGTTGCAGGTGTATAAGGCGTATCATCCTACGTAGTTTGAAGATTTTTTTCCAAGTTCACATTGAGGATTCATGACAAGACCGCGTGGTTTATTGTACACGCAAATTAGGCTTGTTTGAATGCTTGAAAGGTTTCCATTTACTTTTGAACACCGCTCACTAAAGCACCGCATTCCATAGCTGGTAACTGGGTATCTCTTTTCCACTCACACCCATGCATACTGTCCCACCCTGTCCTTGACCAGCAAAACGATAAAAGACATGAATAGAAAAACGCCATCGCTATGCTGATATATAACGCTTCTTTGGGTAAAATACAATACATTCTTTCCTTGGCAAAGAAAAAGATCCTAGTCGGAAAGCTCAATGGCGTCGTCTTCGGTTGCTCCGGGCTTCATGGTGCTTTCGCCCCCATCGTCATCCTCTCCCTCTTCAGACTCATCTTCCTCTTCCTCTTCGTCGAAATTTTCTACAACCTCTTCGTCCTCGTCAACCTCATCGTACTCGTCGTAGTCGAGGAGTTCGTCGTCATCCTCGCCTTCCAGCATCTCGGAATCTGCGTCTTCGTCGTACTCTTGATGGTCGGACTGGGCAGCAGGGAACTGAGAGCCAGGATACGAGCTTGTTGCACCGACAAATTCCTCATCATCGGTCATGACGGCATTTGAGTCTTCAGCGTCAAGATCAACGACGTCAACGCCACTGGCTACTTCTGTGTCACTGTATATTTCTTGGGTGTAACCCTGGGTTTGGGCTTGCGCATGCTGGATAAACGACTGCTGCGTTGGGATTGGAGACGAGAAACTCATAGGCTCTGTACTAGCCGGTCGTGTGCTGGACGGTGACTTGCTAAGGCCCTGCTCTACTCTGTAGGCACGAACAGCATCCGCACCGCGACCGTAGAGATGGCGAGGTACAAACCGACTTGTACGTCCCCAGTATGCTGGACGGTCCTTGGTCGACACTGTGTTGCCGAAGCTACTGTTACCATAGATCGACCGCTGGGTCTGAGATGCTGAGAACCCAAGATTGGGGACGCTGCGGCTCCAGTCGTGCTGTACATTTGAAGTTGCATCATGACGTCCTGAAAGCCCTTTGGCGCGTGCAATGAGCTGGCTGGCATTTCCGTCAAAGGAATCGGCTCTATAAACAGACATTGCGCTATTGATGTGTGGAGGTGGCGGCATTTCGGACTTGGCACCAGCCACTATCCTTCGAGCTCTTTCAATCAAGCTACTAGTAGAGTCGTTGAATGAGGCTCGACCACTGATAGAGGCAGCCCCGTTGATCGACTGCGACGGTGATATTGTGTATGTCGAGCCCTTGAAGGATCGTTTGATGGCTTCAGCCCGATCAACCTGCTCCTCGTCCATAGTCTTGGGCGTAGGTGGTAATAGACTCTCTACCGAAGGAGACTTTGATAATAGCTTGGGCCGCTTGGACTCAATTAGCTCCGGCTTTTCTTCATCGGAAGAGGTAAAGTCAAAACTCCTCTTCCGATGTTTGCTAGGATCAATGCCCATCGCTCGTAGTTTGAACCAGTCTGTTTCTGTTCGATCGACAGGCGCCGTTGCAGCGGCCTGGTGGTAGGCTTGCGAATAAGTGAGTGCCGAAGAACCTTCTTTGCTTGTGTTTGTGTTTGGCGGGTTGTTGTGAGAACGGCCTATTGCCCTAAAACCTGGGTTGTTAGGAGTTGCGTATGGACTTGTCGTGTTGATTGCTTCGGAGACCTGCGTGTTTCGCCGCTCTTCTGTTCGTTTAGCACGCCGAGTGTTGGACGAACGTTGTTGCGGTGCTGCATAGCCATTGGGCTGACTTGTTGGCCCCGCTTCACCTTTCAGGGCAACAGTCTGCCCAAGGACAGACGCATCTGTGTTCTCGTTCTCTCCCATCGACATCGTCCGAATACGCTTCTCTTTCAATCGTCTCCTCCTCTCTTTAGCCTTTTGCATTCGCTTCTTCTTTTGAACCGCTGCCATAATCTTGGCCAATCCCGCCCGCTTCAATTCCACCAAATAATTTTCATACTTGCGATCCACATACGCCACTCTCCTCTCCATCTCCACTGACTTTGCAGCTTCATTTGAGATGTTGATGACTACATTCTCGATGAACTGCATCAACAGTCCCTCGTGGGGATCAAACGTGACATCCGATGTAAGCACATGTAATGCCAAATCCATTTCACGTAGTCGTTTCGCCCGAGCTTCCTCCTCTTGTGCTTGACGTTGCCTCGCTTGTCGGACCAATTCCTCCTGTTCCTCACGTGCTCTGCGCTCTCGCTCTGCCTGCTCTTTCCGTTGGCGTTCTGCCGCGGCAGCAGCTTCCCTCTTTTGCTCCTCCTCTTTTGCTTGCTTTGCCCGTTGCGCTTCTTGCACACGCCGTCGTGCTTCATCTTCTCGTCGTTGTTTCTCAGCTGCTTCGAGCAGCGCTTTTTCTGCTCTCTGAGCCTCAGCTTCAGCTTCTTGTGCGGAGGTATCTTCTTGGGGCGGTGATCCTGCTGGTGTGAAAGAGAATGATCCTGCCGTGGTGGTGGAAAATGACCCTGCTGGTGTTGAAGAAACCCCGGGTCCTGAAGTCTCCTGCGGAGGTGCGAAGTTGAAACCTGGTGTAGGGAAATTGAACGCTGGAGCTGGTTTAAGAGCCTCAGCCGGTTGTGTTGGCTCAGATTTTAAAGTTGAATCTTGTGGTTGGGACTTCGACTGTGCAGCTGTAAACGCAGAAGGTAGAAAGGGATTGCTTGGTGCCGCAGATGTTGTATGTTGAGGCGGAGCAGTGTTGTTTTTCAAAAATGGGTTTGTTGAAGGCGCGAGCGGGGCAGATTGGAAAGGTGTAGAGTTATTTTGCCGAATAAACGGGTTCGTGCTCGCATCTGTCGGCGACGCGAATTTGATGGAATTCTTTGAAGGATCGAACACGCCGGATTGGGGGGCCTTGGCGAAAGGATTGGAGCTTCCCGCGGGTGCACTGCTGGGTTGGAACAGAGAAGCCGTTGGGTTGTAACCACCACTCAATGGCTTTGGCCCGTTTGACTGCTGAGAAAAGATGTTTGGTTTCTCTGGAATGAAAAACGATGTTTGGTCTTCCGCTTGACCAACTTGGTTTGTGAATACATTGTTGGACGCGAAACCACCCTTCTTGGCTTCTTGTATTGTCAAGCCTGCAATAACGGCTGAAAGCGGACGGCCGTGACGTTTGGCCTCAACAATCGATGCGGAGAAGAATTGAGGTTTGACATCGGCTTTGGGAAGAACCACAGCTTTCCTCTCGTAACTCTTTTGCTTGATATCCAAGAAAGTCTGACCTGCTTCGTTCACTTCAAACACGAACCCGTGAGCTTCACAGAATTGAACCGCCTCCGAGTCAGTATCCATGCCCAGGACTTCTCTCAGCTTGCCAGTCGTCCACTCTTCAACACTGACTTGATGTCTGTACTGGCCAACTCGATAGGCACGCCAAACCGAGTCGAGTACAACGTGGCGTACCCTATTGAAGCATATCGCAGCAGCGCATGCCATCAGGTATGAGACTCTCGGCGACTTGATCAGATCCCAGAACACCTTCCAGTTGGACTGGCATTGGACGAAGTTGTCGTAATGTCTATGAATGATGATTGTTTTGAGTACGCGGAAGATTTCCAAAGCAGTCTTCACTCGAGGATTGTTTCGCAGGTCACTGGGCAGACGGTGTAACTCGTTCTCGAGCTGCGTATTGGCATAAATGGGAGCTAGAATCAAGCGATACGCCCAGAATTCGGCCTCGTTCTCTGACACAATGCCAGCTCGTCGATTGTCGCCATATCGCTCCTTCAATGAAATCAAAGTCTGATTCAGTTGCTCGACATCCTGCTGATGCGAGTAATCGTCCTTTGTACTCCGAGCCATGTGATGAGCCGATAGCATGTAGAAACGGGCGCTGTACTCGAGGGAAGTGAGGAGGATTGCGATATCGGTCTTGTTCTCAATGCGCTGAGTGCGCAAGTCCTTCCGGACGGCTCGTGTTCGGTCCCAAAGCCACGAATGCAGGAACTGGAAGTCGTCTTCGTCCAGTCGCCCAAAAAGGTACTTGAGGGTTTTCTACAGTAGTTAATTGACTGCTGCTTTAAGGCTGCTGGCGACTTACCAGGCAAGTGGAGGGCGAGCGAATCTCTGAGACCAATTCTACGTCCATACCTGCTGCAGAGCGCGCATATGCCTTGACCATCCGCGACTCTTCTGGTATGCGCTGACTGCGGCTGGGTAGGTGCTGGGTCTCGGGGGTCTGTGCAGGTCAGTGAGAGGACTTTGGATATTGCAATTGATACTCACGCATTCCGGCGCCTTGACATCTAACTCAACAATGCGACGCACCCGCTCGTACTCTGGGCACATTTCCTCGCATATGCCGTAAAGCTTGACTGAGTCGCTCAAGCGCATCTGGCCTTCTGGGTTCATGAGCCCATTTTTAATGAATTGTTCACGAATCTTGGGTCGCTCCGATTTGATCTAGTCCTATCAGCGCTGCTCCAAAGTATGGGCAGGAAGGCTCGTACGTAGTTCAGACGTTTCTGATATTCGTGGGGCGCAAAGTTCGGCGTATTGTTCTTGTTCGAGGCAAAGGCGTTCCTAGAGATACCCGGTTAGAATGGGCCGCGAGCAGCCATAGGAAGCCCTCGTCTGGCAGATGTCGCAACAATGGTGATGATGTGCAGTGTATCTGGGTGATGACGCCCTTGGGCCGCCCACGACCTGTAGCCATGTCAGAGGAGACACGAGAACTTACGAAGAACCGAAATGACCACCCCGCGCATTGAAGCCACCATTGCCATTCGAACCGCCTCTGCTGCCGCCCGTGTGCTGTCGTCCTTGTCCACGCGTATAGAGGGTTTGCGCCGGTCGCTCATCGTCGCTCTGCGCGTTGTTCTTTCCACGTCCACGGTTCGAATTCGGAGTGTAACTGCCTCTTCCACCGCGTCCTCTCTCACTCCCACCACCTCTTCCACCGCGCGGAGTCGCCATGGTCGCGACTCTATCACAAGATACGTTTCGTGCGCGATCAGTGAGCAACGTCACAATCAATGATCGGATGTTGGGGGTGCTCTGGTGTTGGAGATGGAACCGAGTTCGATTCGGGGTTCTGGGCGTGTGCTGCTGGCCGAGTCGGGTTGAGAACGACTGGCGGCTGCTAGAATGCAACAAAGACCCATTGAAGTCGCGAACAATGAGCTGCGATGGACTTCACAAGCCCGGGCCTGTGACGCGGTACTAGCGCCTTGGCACACGTGTGGCTCCCTGCCACCTCACCACCGCACCTCTATACTGTACCCGCACCATTGCACACAAACCCCTGGGCCTCGTCACAGTCAGGTCCTATGACACTTTTCCGCATCTTGCTTTTGGATTTTTCTTTGATGTAACATACCCGAAATATTTTTGACTAATAATACGCGACGCTTGCGCATCTTTTCTATCAACATGCAGTCGCTTGGGCTACGTTGCCATCCTCTTAGTACAGATTCTTGTACTGTGGTCGTCTGCTTCATGGCCTTCCCCAATACATCTCCTCTGCTAACTCCACCATCTCAATTACATGTATGACGCCTCGCAGTGAAAGCAGACCACCGGCCCAATCACATTTACCACAATCCCTAATTACGTTTCTCCTTCAACTAGTCATCAAGGTGTACCAAAGTCGTTGCAATGCAGTCGTGATCAGCGTTACGTCGTAGATGGACTGAAGAAACAAAAAGTCTGGAAATCTGACAATCGAAATCCGAAACATGTTCCAGCTAACGTGCCGAAGCAACCAGCATTGGGGTCATCCCTTTGCCAGTCTAGAACAAAAGGTAAAAGCTGCGAAGCCAAGCTGATGAGATATTCGCGGCCGTAAATCGTGGGTGCAGAGCACCATGAGTCAAAAGAGATTGAAAATCTATCTGATATATAAACACCAAGTTGTGCGTTAGTATCGAGGCGCCTCCGCCTGGCATACCATGGCAGCATCATTGGATGTACTGTGGAACAAGTGCAGAGAATTAGCCGGTGACGATGTATACATCTTGGAGCCATGAGGATAGCAAGTGTCGTCATGGAATGCTACATGCTCAACCGGATGAGAAAAGTGCGGATTAAATGCAGGAAATGGATGGTGGTACAATGGGGCGGATGGCGAAGTAAATCCGGATTGAGACGTGTTGAAAAGGGGGCAGCCGTCCTGTTGTAGCTGAACCGAGTATTGATTGTACCCTAGGTCGCCATCAGAGTACTGCATGAGATGGCCGCCATTGATGTAGGTGTGATCATGGAGCGGTGTGCAAGCAGCCATCCCAACGTCTAGGTCCATCTTCTCGCCGAGAGGAAGCCCATGCATTGGTTGCCCAAAAGAAACGTTGGGTGCCGTAGTGGTACTACAAGGGTACGTATGGAGGGGAGCAGCTGTACCTCCACAGGCCGAGACGGGTGTCTGCTGGGGAGTTTCCTTTGACCCGAAGATATCAGATCCCTCAGGTTGGTCCGAAGCCAATTCTTGGCCGCGCAGGTAAGACGAAGTTACACAGTCGTCTATCTCGGTCTCATTTCCAGAAGCTTCGACGTCGGTTTCTGATCTCAGCGCTGTGCCTTCATTAGTTGTTCGAGGGCGCTTTCTAGGAGTCGCAGGCTGGCGGGCTGGCCTAGTGAGCGGTTGCCAGGTCACCCGCTTTCCTTTACCAGGATCTGGAATACCAGAGCCCTCGTAGTGGCGGTGCCATGCAAAGTGATCCTCGTAGAGCTGCGCAGTCTCGAACAGATTGGGCAGGATTTCTGCTAGGGCCCGACTTTGCATCTTCTCACTAAAGTTGGATCCTTTGGACGAAGAGAATTGCTCAGGAGGTGTTGTTTCAACAGCATACTGGGCTGCTTGCCGAAGTTTCGCTACCCAAGAACCTTTACGCTTTTCCTTGTCAATGAGACGGTGTTGAAGCATAATGTCGACTGCTAGCGTCAAAAGCCCTAAGAAGCTTTAGCTGTTGGCCCATACAGAATCGTGGTGGCTACCTACCTGCCTTATCGAGGTGTGATGGCTCTTCATAGTTAACATCTCGAGGCCACCAGGGTGGAGAGCATTCCTCGGGCTGGTCTTTGGGCAGCTGTTTATGGTATCGGCCGTAACGGCTTAACCGCTTGGGCTCAATTTGCTTAATCCAAGCTGTCACGATAGGACGTAGTGGTTTCATAGTGAGCTCATCAAGTCTCCGGCGGAAGAACTTCTTCAACTCATCGATGTCGCCAATGTAGAAGGTATATGATTGTTCGGTTGTAATCTTGACATCCTCGCCAAGTCGCCCGTCTTCCTCGTCGCCCGTGCTCTGAGCTACGGGCTGCGAACGTAGCTTTCTTCTACTGGATCGAGTTCTCTTTCGCGGATTGTGCTGCGTCCTGGGTTCACTAGGTGCTCTACCTAGTCCTTGGGCCGTAGTCGGCTGGCATAGCTGCAAGGAAGCGGCTTTGGGCGAGGCATTGAAGCATGTATTATTTTTCTGCGACGGTCCTGGACCACTCCATAGGTGCTCGAAGCCGGGAATGGGCTCGTAGCATAGCTGCTCATGGCCATCTGGAGATGTGATCTTCCAGCAAGTCTGCGCGATGGGAATGGGTATCGCGACGTCGGTTCTTGATTCGTCCTGCTTGATGGACACTGGTGCTTGAGGGAGACGCGAGGATTTTTCCTGTACAAGTTAGCATATGTTCTCCTTGCTCTTGCCAGTCTAGCGAGCCGGACATATAAAGAGATGCACTTGCCCGTGGTCTTCGAGTAACCCCACCTCCACCATTCGCCCACGGGTCAATGCCGTATTGGTCCACTTTCATTGCAGCACTATGCTTCGACCGTATTGGTTGTTGATCGTTCGGTAGGTTCACGAGCCGGGATCGTGACCGTGCCATGGATGATATGCTGAGCTGCAGCTAACAGGACTTAATGCATCAACACGTGTATATGCCAGAGAGCAGTCGAAGATAGCGCCGCAATCGTGAAGAATCTAAACTATAGTGAGCCGTTATATCAATCCAACACATGACCCATCTGTGAGCAAAACCCCATTTTCAGCACACACGAGCAAAACCGATGATGTCAAGATGGCTCATACATGACCTGCAGGACATGGCATCTGGCTTCGCAAACTTCACTTACCTCTTTGTGTGAACGATGATTACCTGAAAGAGCAAGATCTACTCCGTCTCCTAGCTTTCAAACCAATAGTCCCCTTCTTCGCTTCTCAAGTCTGACCAACGCAAACCCAAAGATGTCTTCAGCCAGCCCAAGTCGGTCAAGGAAAATGAGCGTGACGCACTAGCCACGATACTAGCCGATTTTGCGAGAATTGTTCTGATGTGGCAAACTAGGACAGGATTTCAGTATCAAGGATAGAAGGTAGCGAACAGAATTTGGAGGGGGACAACAGCAATACGACCGATGTTATTAATTGTACCCTCTAGTAGCCCATGTCTAGCTGGCACGGGCTTATTGAATCATCCCCACCGCATGCCTCTGCAGCTCATCGGCCTCTTAAGCAAGCCTTTTCGCGACCCCTGAAATTAGGCAAACAACAGGGAAATATGTTGTAAAACGGCGTCCGCGGAAGCGTCTTGATCAACAATGGCAACTGTAGAGTTCTATGATGCTCCGGCCGGTAGATCCTTCTCCACTAAAGCTTGTGGGGACGCCATCTCGCGCTGGCCACGTCCTCAGATATACCTTGTAGCCCTTTTTGAGTCTTCTGCAGCTTTTCCCAAGTCCTACTGGTAAAATGACGAGCGATAGGTTATGCCAGGGTCCTAGACGTCTTCACCGCAAGGATGCTTACAGAAGGCGACGTAAACGACAGTGACGCGCATGGGGCTGTTATCGCTCAATCCCAATATGCAGATCCTCGAATCTTGCCTGAAATTCATGTAAAATTGGTGCTCCAGGCTGACGCCATTTGATAGATTTGGACAATTTATCCATATTCTATCCAAGAATCATTCGAACAAAAGGTATTCATGAACTGCTTCTGATCCAAGTTCTATTTTCTTCACTACCAATATCCCACACATACCCCCACGCGAATCATTCAAGCAGTGCTCTTGCAGATTTTAGCTGCATCTGACAATCAGTGTGGCTGGTGTGTTACAGGGAGCAGCACCTCCGAGGAATTTTGCATCACCGCCTCGCCTGTCACCTGCTACCCTTGTACTGCCGTTTAAGACATATACGATTCATCCGAATTTCGGATGGGCAAGTCAAAATAGGTACACTGCGCAACTGTTAAACGATGTGCAATACCGTATAAAAGTCCATCCACCGACAAATGTCATTTTCCGGCAATCTGTTACTAAATCTCACTCCTGACGAGTCATTACCAATGTCGATGTCGATCTCGTATACTAATGTACGGCAAGACCGCTGACCAGGTGGCCGGCAGAAGATTCTGTTTCCAATCTGACATGAAGCGTGATCGATCCATATCAAAAGGCATAATGCATAAGCAACCTCATTAACCTCGCTAAGCCTTACTGTTTTTGATATAGATACCACCTGCTGCAGAATGCCGTAGAATGCCGCCTTCCTATCTCTGGTTCCACTCTGAACGTTGGACAACTGATTATTTGTTCACAGCCACATGACTTTGCATCGAGTCGAAAGAACCTGGCTATAACGATCGCCCGTAACAACGATTCTGGAACGCGGCGCCTACCGTGACGGGAGCACACTGGACTAGCGGTGCGGAGATTATGCAATGTACCATCCCACGGCTTTCAAGCCGTCACACAGGGATTCACCCACACCATCAGCACGATGTGGCTGCAACCGTTCCGCCGACGGATGGCACTCCCGTTCGGATATTCATCCACTTCCCCTAGCCATTCGTTTCACTCTTCTATGCCTCAAGGGGCACAAAGATCCTATGTCTACCCTCAGCCACCGGAAGGCGTAACGCTTCCCCACGCGAGGTTACACAACCGAGTCAGGAGTAAAGAGCCTCGTGTATGCAATGTGATACAACACGCCCAATCTACAATTCGTCCGCTCACCGACGGACCCTTTTGTGTAGGCAGGGCCGCATAGGGATTTTCCGTGGTCATGAAACGTGCTGATTACGCCACGTCTGCGTGAAGCATGGACAGGGAACGAGATTACATGCATGCCTCTAGTTCAACACCGACATTCGAACAACCTCTGATATTCCGCTTTGGTGCTAGCATACAAAACACTGCAAATATCTGTGACAACATGAACTTGAACCGATTCGCCGCCACCACCATCTCTGCTACCCAAAAAAGCAAGCCGGAGGTAAACAATACATGAGACAACATCTCCACCTGAATACCTCAATCAAGCGCCAAAGATACAAAACAAGAAAACGTGAACATCTCATATACATGACCTTTTTCCATTTTCAGTTTCAAGCTAGAAAAATCAGCGTAACTACTACCTACACCCCAACGTGACCCTCCCCCTTCTTGTAAACCCCCCCAAGATAAGACATGCAAAAGTCTACCTCCACCATGCAATGCACATCTGCACGCCCACACAACGCGATTAAATCAAGATCCAACCCCACACCAAAACACGTGTCTAGAATCTTAAACCCAACCAGTAAATAGATTCGACAGCCTCAATTTCTCACACCCAAAATTAGAAACTACTACAATAAACTCTACATACCCTTTCCCCCCCACGCTGCTTTTTGGCCTCTCCGCCCCCACAAAACCCCCCCACAGCCAAAACCTTAAAGACTTCCCATACACCAAGCCACAAAAGTGGTACTTGCGGAACGGTACGGCACGGCACGAAGCGGGGGAAAAAATAAACTAAAACAATCATCAAGCGAAAGAAAAGAGACAAGGGGAAGAAGGAAGAAAAAAGAAAGGGAAGGAAGGAATGGGAGCTAAAGAAAAAAAAAGCCCATTTTTTTTGGCCCTTCTCTTTCCCGCTTCCGCTTCCGCATCCCCTCGCGGATGAACGTTTCGGTTAAGCAAGCTTTACATGTGCATGGATGCATGCATGGCAGCGCAGCCAACGACAAAAGAAAAAAAAGAGAGAGAGAGAAAAGCAAAGATAAATACGAATACGGTACGCCGCGGAATGCGAATTAGGAATTTCTACCGTGTACATACAATTACACCACCTTTCATTTCGATTATACAAGCTTCTTCTTTGGTTTTCCCCTTTTTTTTCAATGCTAGTACAACACTCCCCCATCATCTCCTACTCCATTCTTCCTCTTCCTCTTCCTCCTCAAATACCGTTCATAAATTAAAGTAACCCTCCTTACAGCGAAGCCTGTGAAATATCCAGCGCATTGAGCAATCCCGCCTCCTTAACAAGTTCGTAGAACAATCCTTTACTCTTTACAAGCTCAGCTGGGGAATCGAATTCCTTAACTTCACCCTTATCAAGTACAATAATGCGATCGCTGTCAAGGATAGTGTTGATACGGTGCGCAATGGTGATGATGGTGCGGTTGCTAAACATGGGGGCGCGGAGGGTGCTTTGGAGCATGGCGTCTGTTTCGACGTCGACGGCGGCGGTTGCTTCGTCGAGGACGAGGATGTTAGAGGGGGTGAGCAAGGCGCGGGCGAGCGAAACGAGTTGGCGTTGGCCGGCGGAGAAGTTGGAGCCGCCTTCGTTGACGGTGGCGTCAAGCTTTCCGGGCATCGAGGCAATGTGGTCCTTGAGGCGGGCGTGTTCTGGGATAATCATTAGCTACTGTATCTCATCGAGTATAGAGAAAACATACCTAGGACGCTCCAAAGCTCTGTATCATCATGTACATGCCCAGGGTCCAGGTTATCGCGTACAGTGCCTTCAAAGAGCGCGGCATCTTGAGGAATGATAGCCAAGCGTCGACGAAGATCCAAGAGTCCGATGGTGCTTGTGTTGAGATTGTCAATGCTTACGAAGCCCTCTGTGGGCTCAATGATACGGAATAGTGCAAGAGTAAGTGAACTCTTGCCAGCACCAGTACGCCCAACAACACCAATCTTTTCCTTTGGCTTGATGGAGAGGTTGACGTTCTTCAGCACAAGATCTAGGCCAGGTCGGTACCGAGTGCTGTAATTGTTGAAAGCAACAGCGCCTTGTGCTGGCCAGCTGATTGGTGGTCTATTCTTGGAGATGATTTCGGGCGCTTCGCTGGGCAACGCGGCATATTCAAGCACGCGTTCCACAGAAACAATGTTGGTCTCCACCTCAACGGTCTGCCTGACGATCCAATTGAGACTTTGTGTAATCTGAAGCGCATAGGACATGGCCAGACCGACCCAACCAGCGTCAAGTCCGCTATGGTTCGAGACGGAAATGATAGCGAAACCTGCAGCAGCAAGGATTATAACCGAGCCAAGAAACTCTAGACGAACTGCAAGCCATCGATTGGCACTGATGGAGGGGTAGTATGCGCGTAGATTAGCATCGACGCGCCATTCATTTTCCATCTCGAAACGCTTCTGCTGGCCATAGGCACGAATCGTGCTCATACCACTCAAGCTCTCTTGGAAGTGTGCATAAATCGGGCTTCGGCTGACACTGTCGAGTCGCTTCAACTCTCGCGACGTGCGTAGGTAGTATCGCTGGATGTAGAGATAAAGCGCACCGAGCGGCAAAATGAGAGCCACAAAAGCTGGTGTGGACCATGAGATAACGACAAGGGTAAACCCGGCTACATCGGTCAGTCAAGTGTTACACACCGGGTTAGGTGCGGGGTGGCTGCATACCTCGGGCAGAATTAACGAAGAGCATGTTGAACGTTCGGCTACAAGCGTACGTTAGACAACCTGCTGTAAGTGCGTTAGGGAATTGGAAGCGACTTACGCTAGCACCTCGTCTACTCTGTATATGTCACTGGTTTGTGAAGTTAGCAAATGTCGGCATATACACTAGAGCCCAAGACGAGTCCTCCGCGGGATCCTTCAACGAACAGTTCATGGGAAAACACAGGACGATCCATTGAAACAGCCCCTAGTAAGAATGACGACTTACCTTGAAAAGCGGTTAAGGATACGTCCTGCAGGTGTTGTCTCGAAAAAGCTCATTGGCGAGCGGAATATCGCGAAAGCCATCCGCTCGTGTAGCTTGCGACTAGCCTACATGGTGTGTCAGTGAATACAAGCCAAGCTAGCCAGTAAGCAGATGCATACCTCGATGGAGCAAAAGATCCATAAAATGAGGGTCTGTACTACCACGAGTGCAGCTGACCCTACACCAAACGAGAAGTAGATGCCGATATATCGTCCCACATCAGGATTTCCACCATACCGCTGATTGATATCTGACCAATGTTTGAGCCACACGTTTGCACCTGTATCGCAGCGTTAGCGTTGAATTGCAAAAAAAATGCGAAAGCGACAATCCAATGGCACACCAAACGGAGAAGCAAGTTATTCGCACCCCTTCGCGGCTCTTCAACGTACCAATGGAAGTAGTCTGGGCCCCAAGAAGGAGCATCAGATAGATACTGACAGCTACAAGATTACTCGTCTTTGCGTACTCGCCATAAACGGACCATTTGACTTTGCCTTGCTCCTGGAATTCCTTTGTTTGCTTGCTCTTCAGCGGTGCACCCTCTTCATCAGTAACCTTGCCGCGGGGTCCCTTGAAGCTTGCAGTACTGGCACGACGGAGGGTGTTAAAGCTTGATTTGCGGGCTGTGCCACCTCCGACTCTCAAAGGAGCAAGATGCGCACCACCTTCCTGAGCTGCTTCGGCTTCGGCTTGATCTTCCTCATCGTCCTCGCCAGGGGGGGTTCCACCATAGACAGTGCTCTCTGCGTCGCTCATGATGCTGTCCGACATGCGAGTGCTGTCGTCTTCACCTTGGTCCTCGTTCTGAGACGTCTTGATTAGTTGGGCAATTTCACCCTTCATTGCCATCAGTTGACCGTAGCTACCCCTCTCGAGAATTCTACCCTCACGCAGCAGCAAGATCATCTCAGCTTCCATCAGTACTGGGATGGAGTTGGTCGCGAGAATTCTAGTCTTCCCTGCGAGCAACCCTTTGGGTCCAAGCACGTTGTTGATGAGATGTCTCGCTACATGTTGATCGACGGCAGATAGACAATCGTCAAGCAAGTAGATATCTGCGCGGGCATAGACAGCACGAGCCAATGTGAGACGAGCCTTTTGTCCGCCTGACAAGGAGATACCGCGTTCGCCAACTTCGGTCTGGTCGCCATCAGGCAGAGATGCAAAATCATCGCGCAAGGCACAAGCGTTGATAGTCTTCTCGTAGAATTGAGGGTCCCAACGGTGACCAAAGACAACGTTCTCCCTGACAGACGCATTCATGACCCAAGCCGACTGAGGTACATAGGCCGTCTTTCCCCTCAGCACAACCTCTCCGTGAATCTTCCACAAATCACCAAGTACTGCTTGGAGAAGCGAAGACTTGCCCGCACCAACGCGACCAACAATACACGTGAGCTCGCCCTTGTGCGCAGCAAAGTTAATGTCATGCAAAGTCCGGCGTTCAGCGTTCTTGTCCCAAGTGAAGCTAGCATCACGAATGCGGACCGACTCATCTCCCAACTCAGTCACTGCGTCCTCGCGGATAACGGCGTCCTCCTGTAACTCGTCGGCAGTTAACAAGCCGGTAATACGACTCACCGCAACGCTAGCCTCTACAATGGCGGTAATGACCATGGGAAGAATAGCCAAGGGAAAGGTAAGAAGGTTGAAGAGCGTAAGCGCAGGGAACACAATATCGGTTGTCAGGGCGCGGTTTTGCGTGAGGACGAAAACACCGAATGTGGAGCAAGACACGAGGAAGGGAGTAGTAGACCACGTGAAGGTCGAGAAGGCTTGAGTGGCACCAATCTTACGGAGAGTCTTGAGTTCTTGGTCGTTTCGAATGGTGTTCAACCGGCTAGCGAAGGCGGTAGTCCAGGCGTAGAGTTTGATAGACTTCATGTTGTTGAGAATCTCCGAAATCAGCTTCGTACGCGAGTCCTTGTTCTTCATTTGCTCCTTCTGCAATGTCTTCATCCATCGTGCGATTACACCGTTGACAGGAATCATAACGAACATAGCAGCTACTCCAGCGAAGCAGCTCACGCCAAGCAACTGATATAGCGAGAGCATGCACAAGACGATCTGGAAGGGAGCAGACCATAGCTGCTGACCGTACTGCGCGAGATCCTGAAGACGCTGTGTGTCTACAGCCATATAGTTGACGATATCTCCAGTCGACTTCGCCGCCCGGCCTTCGTTGGACAGACGTGTCGACTTTGCGTAGATGGCAGCAGTGAGAGAGGACTTGATGCGCATGCCGGTTTCAAACGCGCGTTGAAAATATTGGTGGAGACAGGCTGTCTGTGAGACCGACACAGCGAACATGGCAATCGCAATAGCAGCACCACGGATGACGGGTTGGGGATTTTCAGTGCGGTACGAGGCCACAAAGGTAATGAGCAGCCTGAGCAGCTGGGGCTGAATAAAGTTCAAAACATCACTTATAGTCTTGATGAGGGCTCCTCGGAAGTATGGACCACCGAAAGAACGGAACAGGGCAAGCCAGAGCGATGGGTGCTTCTTCGTCATCTCATATTCCCAAGCCTTCTCGAAGGTAGATGCAGTGTGTCGGGTCGAATCGCGCTTTCGCAGATTCCACAGATCATCCTGAGTAAGGAAAGTCTGATAACCCCTCTTCATAAGAGGTGTCATCCAACCAAAGGTCAAGACCGAGAAGATGTCAGCGTATTCGTACGGGCATTCATCGTCGTCCCCAAGCATATCATAATCGCTCATGCGCTTCGGCACCAGCCATTCTAGGACAAAGGAGAGCGCTGCCAGTCCAACACTAGTGCAGAAGACTGCAAAGTATGCCACATGTTCGCGGTGGATTTGTTGGGAAATGAGCGAGCGGAGCTTGACAGCGTAGGCGATGAGTAGGAGAAGCCAGTAGAAGAGTACGACGCCGTTTGGATTGCGCGATCTCCAATGTTCGATATGTTGGATGTGGAAGACGACGGTGAGGGAAAGAATGGTCAGGATAGTGGTCCAAAAGCGGAAGTCGCCTGCCCAGACGTGTTTGTAGTATCCGATCTGGAGGGCTGCCTGAGTGACGGTTGTGCCAATGAGGGCTCCGATAGTCGTCTGTTAGAACGATGGGTGTCAGCACCTGTCAAAAAAAACATGACGTAGATATTTACAAAGGGTGAAGCATACCAATTTCGCGTAAAAGTGCCAGTTGCGCTTCACCGGCTGCGGTGAGCAGTGCCTATATAGATACCACAACGCGCCCGCTCCTCCCAAAACACCAAACACGGCTACGACAGCTATCCAGACATCGAGAAAACACGGTGTGAAGTCGTATCGAATCGGGCTGATTGGGCCCCAACCCTCAGGATTACCGCATAATGGCTGTCGGTCAAGCCTCGAGGCCGTCAGGTAGCCATGCGCAAGCCGGTTAGCGGGGAGAAAGGGCGTCTGTTGTTGTTGCACCTGCATCGGTTGGGTCGTGTGAATGTGCTGATTGCCTTACTCTGGTGTGGCAGAGTCGAGGCAGATCAAGACGTCCAAAGGCGGCGAGGATTCCGGGGTTAAAGGCAGACGCGGCGCGAGCTGCACATTTGACATGGAAGCTCGGACCAGCGACATGATATAATCATTCCCATTTCGCCCCGCTAACGCCGCGGCCGCTTAGACACGAGCTGCTTCTGTAGTTCATTGGCCTTTGAACAACGCTTCTGCTTCATTCTACATGTATCTACACGGGGAAATCATGCGCCAAGTGCTGTAAGACTCTGGTTGCGTTTCTATGCCGTGTATCTCGGGTCTAAAGAAGACGTCAGCTCTTGGATGCCTAGCAAGACTCACCGAACCCGTGGGCCGGCTGCCGACGGAGCATCGGGTTCCCGCATCCGCGTCTGCATCAGCTCAACACCAGGTCACGTGCTCTACATCGGGATCCAAGCATGCATGTACCGACGTGGTATCGGGTGATATCAAGATGAATATGTAGATTATTCTGAACATGTCTCTAGATACCGTGAATAATTGCCATTTAGAATCCATCGACCAGCGTGATACCGACCCATCAATAGTTCATTAATTGATGGGATCAATCGCACCAATCATAAGCCTATCAAATAAGATCCTACCAAGACCAGAATTCACCGAAAACAGAATGCCAATATTGCCTACATCTCAATCCACTTCTAATGTCTTTATCAAGAAAAAATCCGAATCGATTTCCAGCGTATCAGTGAACCATTCCTAAATGCCGTTAAATATACATGCATCAAACATCTACAAACACTGTATCAAGACTATTAAAAGATGGGGTATCGCACATAAGAACTTCTTCACGGTCTCCCCGCCTTCTCCCTTTCGCTATCCCGCTTCTCCATCTGCTTCACCAACTCCCTAAACTTCTTCCTCACAGCCTCCGGCCCTTCAGCCCAAAACTTGCCATGCAACGCATGCACCCCGCCATCGACATCGCGCTGGTTGGCAAAGTTCGAACTCCACTTCCAATCCAGTTCGCGCCACGGCATGGGTCCGTCTCGTCGGAAGACGTAGTTGAGCATGTCCTGCTCCATGAAACGTGTGTCGAAGCGGCCCTCAATCTGCATCACAGTCATGAGATGGTCGTACATTTCCTGCTGCGGGGCCACCATGAAGAAGCCGCCGTTGGCATAGTTGGTTTGTACGGGAGGCACGAAGTGGTCGAAGCCGCCTTGGCCGCCATTCTCGGAGCGGCCAGCGAAGAGCCATTGTTTGGGGAGTGGCCCTTCGTCTTGTTTGATTTCCTCCTTGCGTATGAAGAGTGTGGGAGTGAGCTGTGTGACGATGGGCTCGCGGAAGATTTCGTCCATGCGGTGCATAATCACGTAGTCGGCATCCATGTAGAGGACGCGCGAGTACTGTGTTTGTTCGAAGACGCGCAGCTTGGTGAATTGTTCGGACCATCGCGGCTCGAGGGTGTGGATCCACGATGGTAGTGCCACGTCTTCGAGGGGAATGACGGTTGCGCCGTCTTTACGGAGGATCTCGCGTTTCGCTTCGGGTAGCTTGGTGCCGCAGAGGACGACAAAGCCAATGTTGGGGTTTTGGATGCGCGTCTCGGGGACCTGCAATAACTGGTACGCAAGCATACGTGTCAGATTGAAGTAGGTGTCGTCTTTGGCCTGGCCGGTCAGGAAAGTCGCAATCGCGAGTGTCGGACTGCCGTGCGAAGAAGTCGGTGAAGTCGTGGCATCGTTCCATTCCGGTGCCTGAGATGAACTCGAAGAATCGGATTCTTCGTTCCCAAGTGCTGTATCGCTACTTCCAAACAACGGCCAGTCCGCCGAAGTGATGTGCTGTGTCTTGCCATTATTGAACACCAGAAATGTTGCATAGAACAGACCGATGACTATGGCCACGTAAGCAATCCATATCCTATCTTTGACCAACATCGTTGCTCACGTATCGTAGCAGCGAGCAGTTGAATATTATAACAGAAGATTGATTCGCGTCATTCGAAATCTGTTCCACGCGGCCGCTCGTATTTCAGAATAGTAAGCGTCAGCGCTGACCCACTTCGGTGATGAGCCCTGAGGGCGATGTCCCTGCAAGATCCCGGATCTCTTTAAAGTTTTGTTGAAAAATTACAAGGAGGGTTGTGAATACGCGAAACGGAGTGAGGGGGAAAAGTCTCTTCAGTTCATGATTGCGTCGGCTCTGCTGTTTTGACAGAATTGCCATTGCCCTTTTGGGCTCCATGTCGTGGTATCATGGCTCTGCCCCACCAAAATTCGTATCGTGTTTCCAAATGACTGGATGAAGATAACGTTACGAAAGCCCTTGTGTAAGTACACATATGGGCACGTTCGTGGACACGGCTTGTTTCCGTACCACTCTGATCATCGCGAATTGTCACTTGGGGTTAGTGCTTAGCAGTGGCGTAATTGTGCCCATAATTACCAAACCTCAGTAGTAGGGTTGCCCGCACTTCTGAATGCGTGTCAATTAATCAACAGCGCGAGACAAACTCCCACAGTACTATCTAATCGAATTGGGCGGCGCTTTATCGAGAGCACTTGCAACACAGTGGTGCTTTCGCAATAATGGCCAGGAGAAACAGAGAATAACGGAGAAGGGAGCGATCGTCTTCAAATCTCGACACGGGCCACATTCGGCGTTTTTTCAATGCCGGTCGTCCGTAGATAACACGGTCTGCTGGCCTTGAGAAAATCCAGGTTATTTATCCTACTATCCTCAAGTGACGAATTGTAAGTGTCCAATGCCTTGGAATGTTTTTTTACATACGACAAGTACCTCAAAATATTTACGCTTCATAGGTTGCTAAATATCCTCTCACTTGTCGGAAAATTAGGTGGAAACGCTTCTTGTATTGAAGGTATCTGAATTACGCGTATAGCTGGATCTATTATTGGCAGGAGTTCTATGACATCTATTTCTCTTATAATACGATTAACAAGTGTCTGAATAATGGTACAGGTTGAACGCAGAGTGGCCACGGCACATATCAGTTCGGCCCTAGCTTCGGATGGTTAGGTCATCCATCGTTAGTCTGGCTAGCTTCCCTCTCGGGGCTATTTATAGCCAGAGTAGTAGAATGAACAAAAATATCTTTCCCACTCATAAAAGGCTGGCTTTAGCTACCCAAGCGAATGTCTAGCACAAGTCCAAGGTGATGACCCGGTGTCGGCAACAATCATCTTTGTCTTTTAATGGGTCTTGCATATGTCACACTCACAGTCGGAATGGGGTCCTCGTCGATGACTTCAAGCTTGGTCGCTTCAAATGTAGTCGCCAGATCGTAAACATCTGTGCCTTTGACTGCCGGCAAAGTGGTTTTGTTGCCAACATCCTTTAGCGTAACCTTGTTTAAAGCAACCTTTTTTGGTGGTCTGGTTCTCTTTGAAGACCGGTCTTTACTACTGTTGGTGGGATCGAATCCAAGGAACAATGCTTTGGGCTGTGAATGAAGCACTGAATCGAATGAAGACTCAGACATGGGCTTTGGTAATGAGATCGAGGTTATGCTGCTGCTGTCGCTGCTGAAGTGATATTTTGTTGGCCATGATATTCCAAAAACCTCGCCACCCTTGGGATCTTTCGTGATCTCTGGTCTGCGTACGACCTGTCCCGATTTTCGAGTTTCATCTTTGAGCTTGCTGTTAAAAAGGCTGCTTGTATTTTCCTGGGTTCGGGGTGCTAGATTAGGTGATTTTGCGAGCCCGTTATGAGTTTTGGAAGATCCCTTTGGGACATCTGCCCCATTGGTGGTGCTTGATCCAAATAGGCCAGGCAAATGGGGTTGGGGAATGATTTGGGGACTTTTCCGGGTGCTTCCGGGACTGATGTCCAGTTTTTTGATATCGGGTGTGAGTACGTCGAGGCTTGAAGAACTTTGCGCGTCCATGAGTCCACTTTTTTGAACACTCTTAGCAACTTGAGAGATGGCCATCTGCAGTCTTGGCTTCAAAAGGCGTGAGGACCACGTGTGCATATTTCTGATGATAGCACGAAGTGATGCAACTCCCCACGTCAATTCTATCGACGTTGACCAGATACAAACCATGCGCTACCAAGTGTCAGCATGAGATAAGAATTCGGATGAGCTTCTCTGACCTGTATTGGGATTGCAAATTCTTTGGACTTATCCTGGTATGCAAGCCAAACCTTGACAACAGGACCGACACATGTGAAGGCAATAACAGGAGGTGACTCTAAAGAGCAGCTCTCTAGAGCCTTGTTGAGTAATTGCGCTTGGAGATCGAGAGCAGCAGAGGCGGCATTGGCTGCTCGGCGAAAACATCTTTCTTCAGCAACGTCATCGGTATCTGGGACGTCTTTCTCGACTTCCACAATGGCCCAAGGAAAGCACAATCGCGAGGAGTTCTTCCATCTTCTCCCACTAGCAAGTGCTGTTTCTTTCTTGAGCTTAGTTGTTGGCACACACGCTATACTTTGCTCTACAAGTTTTGTCAAAGATTGAAGTGAGAATGATTGAGCAAGCTCGTCTCGCGCAAATCCTTTCATGCTGCTTGTTGTTGAAGTCTGGATCGGAAACCCGTACGTTAAGTCCGGCCTAGGCTGTCCACGTTTGGGCGCCCAAAGACTTGATTTCACGAAGTTGTCAAAATTACTCCATGTCAAGTTTTCGGAGCTATGGCTGGATGTTAGCTCTTTCTGGTGAAGAACAATGGAACAGCAACTTACACCAACCAGTCATCTAATGCGGAGCTTACCAGATGTTAGTTTGTAGTAATTAAGTCGATATGCAAGATGAAGTAGATCGGCGAAGAGGAGGAAACCGTACCTGAATCCAGATTGCTGATGTGCCTCATCACTGAATGGTATGAATATTTTACTCTTCCAAAACACCATCCACTCCTCTACCGAGTCGCCCGCTATCTTTCGTGCACTCTCCGCAACGTTTTCGCAATCTTTGAGGATTTCGAACGACTTTGACTGGCCTTGTATGCGCTCGTAATGTTTGACGTGAACGAAGGCATTTTCAGGGGGGCAAAGACACCAGCGTGGGCCAATGTACACATCGCCATACGTAACCTGCTCTTTCTCAAGTACCTTTTTGCAGTCATCCGGTAGCATCTCTTCCATAAACAAGAGTCCTTCACGCACTGCATCGACGTGGTCCGGCAAATTGCGGGAAGCTTTCTGTGTGTCTGCATGATTGGCCTGGTGGACATTTGGTTTGTAGTAGATGTTGTGGAGTCTGAGATCCGCCCTGCTGAGATCCGCTCTGCTGATATCTCTCCCCATGGTAGAATGTGAATATTTGAGTAGCGAAGCGATCGTGTGAGCTGTATATGAGCGAACCGATGATTATTTGCTTCTTTTCTGCCTTTGGTTTGAGATACAGTAATCTCCGCTCCCAACGGCTAGTGTGCACTGTTCAGGGGCTGGGCACTGACCATGGGATCGCACGTGATTTACCGCTGTGAACCGACGCCTATTGCGACGTTGGTGTACAGTATTTGGCCAGTAAATGAAAAAGAGATGCATGCTCCATATCGAATGACCTTGTACTGAGCATAAGAAGAAATCGCACGTATGGAAAATGCACTGCATTACTATGGTTCTTCACGCTCTCGTGTTCTATTGTGCTGTGATCACGTGCCGTGCATCCTTCCCTTGTCATCAAACCTACTCATCGTCCCTCGCAATAACAACACCCTCATCGCACTCATCTCCTCCACCAAGCACACCTCCAAATTTACCTGCTAATTCCAGCTCATCACTCGCATCCAGCACGCCCTTGACCTCTGCAGAGGCAATCTGCTCGTACACAGACGTGATACCTGTGATGCGGCATACGCGCGCAACCGACGCCATCATGACGAGGCCGAGCGGAGAGAAAGGGCCCACGGCTACTAGCTGACTGAACTGGCTATTTCACAAAAAAGTTAGTATCAGTAGTACTCTACAATATAAAAGAACCCGAATTATGCAAGTTGGGCATGCTTAGGAAGACTACACCACCAACGCAACGCAACAAAAAAAGAATGAAGAGAGAAAAAAACTTACTAATACCATGCATGCACCTCCCCCCTCTCATCCCAGAACCTCAGTCTCGCCTGCACCCTTTGCCGTCTCTCGTACTCCCTTAATTCTTTAGCTTCGAGCTCACCCAGCAGCAGCGCCATCTGCTTCCGGAAGCCGTGGAGGGCCTTCCACCAGGTGCTGCGGCGGTGCTGATTCCGGTTGCGAATGAAGAGTTTGTCGAGGAGGCTGTGAATGTCGTGCAGCATGGCTATTTCGTGTGTGCTTGCGCTGAAGAGGGGGGAGGCGGATATGCTAGGTGTTGAAGAGGAGGTGGTGGTGGGGACTGTGAGGTGGTGGGATTGTTGGCGGTGGGGGAGGGCTGTGGAGGGTTTTGCGATAGCCATCTTTTCTTGGGTTGGTCTCGCTCAGTGCGACGGTTGCCTGAAGTGTGTCTTTGATCAGGGTAATAAATTGATTTTTGAATCGCAGGCCGGGTGGGTTCTGGTGGTGCGTGGTAATGTCTCCGATGTATCTCGCCGGGGCAATGGTGCGTCCGCGACGTTAGCCAGAAGATGGTAGTACCCGCAGACTGAGCAACGCGGGAAATTTGCGCAAAAGGGCAAAGTAGCGGACGATCCAAGCGACTCGGTATCTGCAGCTGATTCTGTGTTGGGTGATTGTGGTGATGTCGCTACCTAGCAGCCAC